GACTAATCAACCTTTGCCCTCCTACACAGCCTCCAGTACCTCAATGGTCCCTTACACTGGTTCTGCAATCACTCACGAAGCATCCCTTTGAGCCTATGGCTTCGCGTGATGTTAAATTTCTTTCTTTACAGACTCTGTTTCTAGTTGCAGTTACGTCTGCTAGAAGAGCAAGTGAGTTGGCAGCTCTAAGGTCTGATTCTCGTTACTTGCAATTCTATAAGGACAAGGTTATGCTGTTTCCGGATGTTTCGTTCCTACCTAAAGTTGTTACAGATTTTCACCTCAACCAACCAGTTTCGTTACCTACCTTGTTTTCTGATCCTTCATCTGATGTTGAAAAGACGCTCCATTCCCTGGATGTTAGAAGGGCGTTAGCATATTACGTTTCCAGGAGAAAGGACTTTCGGAAATCTGAAAGACTCTTCCTGTGCTTCTTTGGACCACACAAGGGTTGTCCAGTGTCATCTTCTACCTTGTCACAGTGGCTTGTCTCCACTATTACTCTTGCCTATCAAGTAAAGATGTGCCTGAAGGTCTTAAAGGACATTCCACAAGGTCCATGGCAACATCTACTGCCTTACTACATGGTGTGGACATTCCAGACATCTGCAGGGCAGCAACATGGTCCAGAGTGTCCACATTTGTCACCCACTACAGGTTGGACCTTCAGGCAAAGGTGATGAGTTTTGGAAGGGCTGCCTTGACATCTGTCCTGCAGTGGCGGCCTACTTCCGGTAAGTTAGCTTGCCAGTCACCCATATGTGTGCATTCACAGAGACCACGCTGAAGAAAGAGAGGGTACTTACCTGTAACCATGGTTCTTCAAGTGGATCTCTGTGAATTCACGCATTCCCACCCGGCCTCCCCACTATCCGTCACTGCTTATTTTATGATGAGCTCTTGCTCTAGCAATGGCGGATAAATGGAACTGAAAGCTGGGGGAAAATGGAGCATGCGTGCTAGGGGCAATGTAAACTTTGTATCTTTTCAGAAAAAGCTCTAGAAGATTCCGAAGTTCCAGTGCAGGCGCTGATTTAACCCAAATGTGTGAATTCACAGAGAACCACTTGAACCATGGTTACAGGTAAGTAACCTCTCTTTTTCAAATGAGCGCATCTTTCCAGAAGGCCATCACTTCCCTCTGTGTTGCCCTCTCTCAGTTCCTTCACCTGTTGGATCCTGGCCGGAGAGCATCTAGGAAGCAAAGATCAGGAAATTCCTAAGCAGGTCAAGCTTGAAGTCTACCAGTAATGCATAGACATAACTCCAGAGAGTACTTCTGACTTCACAATCCTATCTGTCTCCCATGGTACCAAAAGGGCCAGGTTCCATGCCTCAAACAGATTCTGGTGTAAGACAAGCTTAAGGGCAAGTACCTCTTCATGACTCTCACATGCCTCAACAACGGCAAATCAATTTTTGCAAGGTAAGTTGCTGTTGCCTTCTACTTTACCAGAACCATCAGGGGAGAATATAGGTGAAAAGTAACATTTTTTTTTAAATTGCAAAAGATAATGAGGAAACAAGATTACAAAGGAGCCAGATGGAAAGCAGGGTCCAAAAAGAGAAAGCTGAGATGATGGATAAGAGTCAGACAGCATATGGCCTGACTCACAAGCCTCAATTAAATTTCTTTTGTGCCAACTAGCTCAGACTCAGAGAGCAAATTATATTTACATAAGTGCTCACGATTCAGGATGGATTAATTGGTCTATTTTGATTGGTACTAACAAGTTATTTAGCCCAGCAAGCAGAAATTGATCTAGAAAGAAGCAAGGAAGGCATATGATATAGAGCTGGGGCATAAAGTACATGGAAGATCATAATCATGTCACCCCTGCCTTCCTGGTAGGTGAGATGACCCATGCTTCTGGATGCCATCTCTCACCAAACATATGTACTGATGGTTGTTGTGGGTTTTTCGGGCTCTTTGGCCGCACAACAACCATTAGATCCCGGCCGTGAAAGCCTTCGCGAATACGTATGTACTGATGTTTCCTTTTGTAGGGTTCTGATACTAGATGAGGACATGGGAAACTAAGTAACTGTTGGAACAATAACCTTGCATGCAATTAACACTGGGTATTAGTGGGTGCCTCTTTGTGCCACTAACCAATTAGCAGTTATTTTTTTCCCCATCTTTAGCACTTGAGGCAAGCTCCTGAGCTTCCACTCCTCCTATTCCTGTTTTTCCTAATTTCCTTTTTTTTGTTCTTTCTTCCCCTAACCCATGTGTGGAGACTGCAACCTTCCTTTTATTTGTCTGTTTACAACTTTCTTTTTCTACTTAAAACTCTTCCAGAGTAATTTTTAACATATAAATTGTTAGTTACTATGAAAGGGGGGGGGGCTGACTCTGAGATTTGATCTGTTCTCTTACATTTTCTTTGTGCGCTTACTGTTTATACTTTAAATTCTGCTAAGTATTTAAAAAGTACCAATTATCCACAACAGTAATAAGCTCTCAAAGTCCTCAGGATACAAAACAAATTAGCACTTTGATCAGAATATTTACATGTTTTATTAAATCTTTACAATCAGCAATTATAATCAAGTACACAATTTTATATACAAAGATTATGTACATTTTGAGCTCACACTTTTACATCACAGTACACAGTTGCCCTTAGGAATATTGTACACACTTAAAATCACCAGACAACAAAACCCAACAACAGTAGTGTTGCAGCACCCCTTTAGACTTTTCGTAAATTACATCATAAGAAAATATATGGCTGTAAATTGGGCTGGTAAAAACTCTTATAAAATCTGGATGTACGTATGCATTCATAGAATGTTCCCTCTATTGACCTGGCTGTAGGGTACTACCATCCCAAGAATCTCAAAGAACCTGTTATTAGTAACCACATTGTAAAAAGGGATACAAGGCAAACAGGTTCAGGAAAATCCTGAGCCAAGATTAACCCATTCCTCAGCCAGCTCTAGCATTACTTTCTCTTCAGGGGTGGAGGCATGCGAGAATCTAAGAATTACATGCCTTTCCTAACATGTACAGGAATGCTTGTCCAACAAGAGCTTCTGTTGTGATATGGATTCATAATTAGGCAACCTCTCTCCAAAAAGCACTTTCCAAATAACATGTAAACGTCTTGCTGTTGTCATCAAATAGGCTGATGGCTGTGATGAAGAACTTCAAAAAAAAAGGACAACCGATATCTGAGGTAGACTACCACCTTTCAGATGCTCCTTTCTAATGGCAAGGGAGTCTTTCAATAATCCCTGAATTAATGAGGAAAAGTTAAAACAATTTGCAAATGTTTGATGTCAGACAAACTAAAATCCATTTTATGGACTATTTACAAGTAATAGCAGATAGTGCAAACTCGTAATAAATTATTTGTAGGAAGAAAGGAAAATTAGTGGTTGTTGTATGAAGCAGGTATAATTCTGACCAAAATAATTTCTGAAGATAAAGATGTATAGAGAATTACTTTACCAAAAAAACAGTGTTTATTAGATCATTTAACAAATGATTGATTTCTACTCAAGGGCTAAAAAAATTAATAATTTGATTGGTAGGTTATCCTATATCAGAGTTAATTTGAAGGGGAAAAAAGAGCTTTAGATGCTAGTACTCCTGACATGCAGACTCTTTCATTTGCTCTTTACAGGTCTTATGTAAATTTAGTGCATTTTTTATTTTTTGGCCCCAAATTGCTGGAGCACTTCTGTGGGCCTGGCCAAACACATATTTTCCTCTAGATCTAGGCTAAAGCTACCAAAGGACACTTTAGAGAAACCTCTACTTAAAACTCCTTGAAGGTGTATTCCTTCCTAGAAGAATCAAACCTGAAAATTAAACGCAACTCAACTCAGGGTCCTTCAACAAAAGATCAAAACCCCCACTTAGAATATGTGCAAATAAAAACATCTGAAAAAGTTAAAGGACACTTATTCATAAGTCTGCTAACAATCATCATTGTTTTCATTCAGTTTCTCTGTAATAGTCTTTCTACCCAAACACATTCTTTAAAAAAATGCAAATTCCTGTACATTAAAAGTACCTTTTCATACATTGAAAAGAATGTACGTTGCATTGTGTGGTCAAGCAATCACATGAGAATGACATGAGAAAGGGAGCTCCTCTTGTCCCACACCTTTGTTGCTGTTGCTACAACAGGGATGTAAGGCAAACAGCAGGCTTAGCCCATACAGCAGTGACATCTGATGTACACAACTCTACCTTTTACCACATTAAAGTCAAAGGTGATCCCTCCTGTCTCCTGGGGAAGTAAAGTGCTGCATCGGAAGGATGCTGCTGCTGCCCTCCGAAAACTCCCCTCTAATCATGCATGAACTGGACTCCCCAAACAAGGATCTTGAAGAATCCTCTTGCTCAATGGCATCCCCCCCCCGCCCATAGACAGGCTGTAAGGTCTCAAACAAAAATCCGTTAATGGGGATATCCTGTGCAAAATGAACCGATTTATTAGGTCAGTGCCTTTTTTTAAAAGGGGGGAGGAGGGAAGCACAAACAAAATTACCAAAAGCAAGGTAATTAAGACTGGATATAAACAAGTAAAGTCTGGTGGCTTTGCTTTCAGCACCACTGTATCATTCTTATCTGCTTTTTTGCTACATTTTGGTGTTGTTTTGAAAACTATCCTCATTTTAAAAGACACTATAAAACATTATTTTAAACATACAACTTCTACAATTTAGAAAGACTCTACATGATATGAAAATCTGTATGACTGCATACTACTATGGGGGCATTACCTTGAGTTAGGTATTTGACCTTTTTGCCCAAAGGGAAAACACAGAAATTTTTAAATTGTGTACTGGAACGTTGCATGGTCCTGGCATAACGCTTTTGGTTTCAGCTCCAAAACAAAACAACTCTATCCTGAAACTAATTAATTTAATACCTTTTCTGTAAGTTGTCAGAAATGCCAGTACTGGATTATTTTTTAGCTTTCTATTTATCAAAATCAAATCAATAGGAGTGTAGAGGTCTTTTCCCATTACCCAAATTCAAGTTTAAAATTATCTGATTTATTGTATTTTTGCCAAACAAGCACACTGCCTATGGTTTACAAACTCTCTTGCCTTGAACTTTGAACTAAAGGAAAACAATCCACATTGTCTTGGTCATTCTTCAAAACAGCAAATGGAAAAAGTAATAAGGAGGTATAGCACACTTATTCTGTTAAGTGGCACTGGACAAATCAAAGCTGCCTGCCTTTCTGCCCCCATCGTAAAGGCACAATGGCCTTAAATGCCTTCTACTGTGTTTCTGTAATGACTTTGGGGATACAGTCTTGACCCTTGAAACAGTATAGTCACAACAGCCAACCTGTAGCCTTCATGTGCTCAGAAACATGCACCAACTCTCACTATCCAGATGCAGTGGCACCTTTGCCCTGCTGCATTCATTCTTTGCCTCCTATGACTAAGGCAAATTAACCCACAGTACCCTGGGACACAAGAGGGATTCAAATCGTTCCCTGAATGAACCTCCTGTGTCACAGCACCATGCAAAGGAACCCAGCAAATGGGTCAATTGCACATTCCCATTTTTAAAAACAGGGAAAACAAACTATACAAATTATAACACATGCTGGCTTTTGCCGATAAAACCTGGCTGTTTGTCACAATACTGAACAATTTTATTTCAAATTCTCAGACATTAGGGCCTTACTATGCTCCATAAAGTTCACTATTTTGCAGTTCCACAAGCATATTATTTGAAATTATAGTTCATCCTTTTCCATCATTTCAAATGCTTCTATGTCTTCACTCCAATCAGCTAATATTGATTCCATAGACTGGCCTTTGTTATCCCAGCTATTACTGGCAGAGGACTCTGTCTCCATCTTTGATTGTTCCTCAGGATGATTATCCAGTCTTGACACTTTACTACTGCTACTAGTTTCCTGTAGTTCGGGGATACAGGTGTCCTGGTTTATAAGAGAAACACTATTGCTGTCCAATTCCGTAAGTGAACTCAAACCACTGTCCCCTTCAGGATTCTCACTGACCAAATCTGTTGAGACTTCTTCAGACCTCTGGTTCTGAGAATCATTATCAGAGGATTTCTGATCCATGTTTTCCATTTCCAAATCTTGGAATATATGAGAGCAGATGGGGATGGGGGTGGGGAGAATGAGACAGCACATTATTTTCAAAACACCTGCAATTTGTGTCCACTTTACAATACACCAGACACATCAACATTTTTTAAAAAGCTTTTATCATGTAACACTGCTGTTAATAATTAAAAGAATGGTTAACTTCGCAATGAAAAACCTTTGGTGATCCTCAGGTTGGGGCTGTCAGTTATTCTCTTTAGAATAGTTAGAGAGAAAAATATATATCTATAGTAGAACAAATTCTAGACTTCCATAAGTTTAAAGAATCATTCTCTATAATGCTGAATTTATTGGAAATAACATATAGTTTCTTAAATCTATGCCTGTATTTCTGAGAATTGCAAAGGTTGCAGAGCATGTAAAAGAATTTTGCTATTGGTCCATACAAATGGAGGGCACCTAGAATATGGTCATTGTGCACTGGAAGGGAGAGAGAGAGCAATGTCCTGAGCATTTTATGATTATAATTACGGAACTGTTGATTTAACCACTTTGGTCATCAACAACCACTAGCATTACAGTTAAAACATAGATACAAATACCTGTGGAGATTAACAACATAATACCAGCAAATTAAAAAGTAGAAATACAAATTCACACAATACAAAATACTGGATTAAAAAAATAAGTACAAAAAATCAAAATATATACACAATTAAAAAAAAGTTTCAACTAACCATATGAGTCTTAACATAATTCTTCCTCAACTTTTGAGCAGCTATCGCAAATCTGGCTACTGTATCTGTTACCGCTTAGCATTGTATGAGACATTATTGATTTTCTCAGTGATGAACCCTAAGGTTCTTCAGCGTATTTGGAAAACTAATAGGTTGTAAACATCTATTGGACAACGCCAACAGCAACCTCATTACTTTAAATCCACACAACCCATTAGTCAAGATTGAGAAACTTCTAACTACTTTATATCACCATTCAGTATACACGGAAGAAATATACCAAAGGATCAGGTTTTCAAGCACTCTTTTCAAAAGTGTACATATGTTTAATACTTACTGCTATCAATAATGTAGTTTGGAATCATTTTATCTTTAAATATAGTTGCTGACATTCCAAGGGTAGCATCGGGAAAAGGGAAAAAGCACATACGTAATTTAAATCCATAAATCCACTAACTAAATGATAATTCATTTACTGGCACAGGTAACCACTTAGAAAAAATATGTGAGGGAATCACATTAAAGATTAATGTATAAACTATCACAGAGAATTCAGAAATGTTGCTATCTTATTATTTTAAAGAGTATGAGGAAGAAGGCCAAACTATTTTAAAGAGTGCCAATTCAGCTCTAACCAACAACCCTGGTCTCAACAGCATTCACAGCTACTTAGATTCTGAAATGAATCTGACAAGGCTACAATCTAACTGAGCCTTAAAATCCCAGAGTTTTCAAAAGGAGAGATTAAAGTTCACATTTAAAATGCTCCCTAAAGAAATCTATCTTTTGACTTTGAAATGTTTAATTTTGTCTGGGTAATATTTCAGATGGGTTGGCTCATGCCCAGGTTTCTATTTCTACATGATTTATAACAGTAGCTTTAATATTTTCCACCAATTCACCTGAAACTGAAGCTAGGCTGACATATACAATCTCCTGGATTTTATCTGAAGTGCCGTTCCAATGACTACCTTCCATTTGTTACTTTAAAGATCAACTCTTACTCAGGACTCCTGAAAAAAAATCAGATATGATCAGAATCTCTTTTGTACCTCACCCTGGTGACCTATTATGAATAACTCTCTACTTCTTCCTTTTATCTTGAGTCACCCAAAATTATGGCAAATAGAAATCTGGACACTTATGCCTAAGCCTTTGGTTCCCTCACCTCACCTCACCACTTAATTTATGCAAAACAAACTGTAGTTCTCAAATTATAGTTGATTTAGTTCGAATGGAAGGGGAGGGGCTATGAGGTAGGATGCTACATACTACTGTTAGCAATACAGCACAATCCAACAGATGAGCCACCCTCCCCTCCTTTGCACTCCAGAAGCATGCCCCAGAGGGATGGGAAAACATGCAGAGAGAGTTTTGGGGCAAGTCTGGAGGATGAAGGGGAAAGAGAAGGGGAAGACCGTCCTGTGATGTTTGATGTAGGCTATGCATGGTTTCTACATATACAAAACAGACTCAGAGTGTACAGAATATATAACCTGATTTGCTGTTAAGATGTAAAACCAAGCAGTGTATAGCTAAGGAGAAAATTGTATCATGGAAGAATCTGTGTTTGTTCTCACAGATTCTTGTAAAATAGCTCAATAATACTTGTAATACAATAAAGATAACTTTTTGCGATCGCTATAGCGATTCGCAAAACAGTGATTCCTATGGGGGAATTTCGCTGGACAATGTTTGGTCCCTGCTTCGCAAACCAATTTTCGCTAGACAATGATTTTGACAGCACCCTCCGTGCTCGAAAAAGGGGTGTTTTCAGGGCCTAAGCTTCGCAAGACAGCTATTTAAACAGCTGATCGGCGGTTTGCAAAGCAGCTTTCCTATGGCCGATCTTCAGTAGACAATGACGATTCTTCCCCATTGGAACACATTAAACAGGTTTCAATGCATTCCAATGGGGAAATGCTTTTCACTAGACAATGATTTTGCTAAACAGCGATTTCAGTGGAACGGATCATCATCGTCTAGCGAGGCACCACTGTATATAGATTCTATTGTAAAACAGAAAATCTAAGAATACCCTTATTATCCATAGTAGCAGAGATAGCTGTGTTAGTCTGTGTTAGCATATCAGGCAAAAACAAACGAAAAATAAAGAAGACAAAAATGTGGTGGCATCTTAGAATGCTATATTTTAGTATGAGCTTCTGTGGACAAGTTCACTTCTTCAGACATAAGAGGCCTTTTGTTTCAGGAAGAGGATTTGCCCATGAAACCTCACAGTAAAATATAGCAGTTAGTCTTTAAGGTCCTACAATGTTTCTGTCTTCTTTATTTTTATTTCTTTTGATTTTGCTTATTATCCAGCATCTCTTTTATATCGAAGGAATATAGAAGGTGCTATGTCAACATTCACAATATAATTTCATACAAACTTGAATGGGAATAGATAGTTTGAGTATCGTGGGATTTACTTCTTAGTAAAGCCCAGGCAGAAATCTTCACTATATGTAATTGAAGCTAGGTCAAGATTGTGTGATTAAGATAGATCTGCTAAAATGTGAGTGGTGCTATAAAGAAATTTAAGTATAAAAGCATGTTTTTGCTATATTTGATCTACATTTGTGTGTGATAAACAAAGATGACATTGAGTACACTGTCTTTCAGTTGATTTAGATCATCTGGAAACACTCTGTAAATTAGTAAAGGTAATCATTGTCAACATCTACTCACTGCTGTAAAATCAGAATACCACAGTGAATCAGAAGACCATAATGCTACATATCGTGGAATATCATGCCCCATGAAGTGTTGTTAGCCCTCTCCATTGCTGCTAGTCCCATTGCTTCCAAAACTTCAAGATCACCATCAGGGCAACAGACTCTTTGTTTATTACATATTTTTCCTCTTACCTCTGTCTTTTGCTTTATCAGAGAGCAGCACTTCTACTTCTTCATATTCATTGATGGCATCAAGAATAATACTGCCTTCCTTATTGAAAAGGAACAGCATGGGAATAGTGATGTCATCTGTATTTTTGCCATCACCTGCCATCTGGAAGAGAAGGGCTGTGTCGCTGCTGCTGCCTTCATTGTCATCTAGTCAACAGAAGTTGCAAACAAGACATATTTCCTTTCATTTATCACTTTAACTCCCTGAATATATTTGTTTTAATAAAGGAATCAAAATCCTAGTGGAGTAACATGCCATGGCTCAATCTTAATCCCACTTGCCATGCCTAGTTACAAGTAACTGATGAGGTGCCAGGATTTGCTTCAGTCACATGCCTGAACATATGCACGATGTGACAACCAAAATGTACCCCAGTACCTCATCATACAGAGCAACATATAAACTCTCTGAGTTTGTTGTTGTAATATCAAGAAATTTAATACAGTACTATAAGCAGTTGCAGATCTCAGAAATCACACCATCAGAGCTACAAAAAACGGCAATATTAGGAAAAGCATACATACTGCACTGATATTTAACAGATACCTAGATTTTTGGTTAAAACTTGTATCTGTTATATAATACCGGTCAATGTTTTTACAATTTTGACTGTGCCTGGAATTTTTGAACAACAACAGCAACAGCAACAACAACAACAAGCCATTAAGTCAGCTCTGAGTTACGGTGAATCTTTCCATAGTTTTCTAGGTACAGAGTACTCAAGCGTGGGTTACCATTTCCTTCTTTTGAGGATGCCCTAGGATTATGCTGCCAACCTAGCAGTTCGAAAGCATGTAAAAATGTGAGTAAATAAATAGGTACCACCTCGGTGGGAAGGTAATGGCGTTCCGTGGCTAGTCGCGCTGGCCACGTGACCACAGAAACTGTCTTTGGACAAACACTGGCTCTGCGGCTTGGAAACGGGGATGAGCACCGCCCCCTAGAGTCAGACACGACCTTACCTAGGATTATGCAGCCAGATACCTGACTGACTGAGCTATCTAACCAGTTGTGGAGAGATGTTATGTGCTGTCAAGTCGGAACTGACTTACAGCAACCCTAAAAGGGCTTTCAAGATAAGTGAGATATTTAAGGAGTGGCTTTTCCAGTTCCACTACCCCAGTGAGTTTCAATGGCTGAGTGGGGATTTGAACCCACGCATCCTGAATCCTAGTCCATCCGCTATGCCACACTGAGTATCCTCATGGAGAGATATCTAAAACAGGTACCTTATACTGTATGTCCAGTAAATGGCTGAGAAGGCCATTTTTTTACTTCTTCAGAAAAGAAATATAGAATTGGATTCTTACTTTGTGCAATTTCTGATGCAAAACAAAAAAATGGCCACAAATACAGACTAGAGCCAGACTGAAAGAACTACGAAACACATTCTATATTTAGGTTTGTTTTTCTCAACAGCCATATGCAATGTGACACATAGCTAACAACTAATGAAGCAGAGAGGTGTTTGCAAAGTGGCTTAGTCTGCTGGGCACAGAGGAGTCCAAAATTTCCACCTGCCTTCTACTGCCCACTTGACTGAACCTGATCAAATCTTCAGCTCTCAGCCCACATGCCCAGTGGTCAGCCACAAGTGGTCCCACCTTCAGAATTGTTTTCTTAGCAATCGGAATGAAAATCTTCCAGTATTCCTCAACCTCCTTTTCTTTTTTAGTCTGTGGACAGCTTAGGCCTTGTACTGTACTTACCCATGTCAATGGAATCTCAACGTAAGTACCAATCCTGTTCGTTCAAACAGCAAAGCACTTGCCATTTCCCAGAAATAGTGGATGCATAATCCAAACCATTCAATTTAGTACTATTCGTTCCTATCTTATTTCAAGTATCAAATAATTAACAATTACCCTTGAAAAACCTGTTTTACTTACCAATGACGATGCCACCTATGGCTCCAACTTTCTGGATGTTTCGTGCCTTTTCAGCAAACATGCACTGCCCTCTTTGCATCAAAGCAATTTTCCCATTCAGTGCTTCTGGATTGGTGATCTCAGAGCATCCATTATATGGTTTACTGACTGCAACAAATCCTCTTGTCTGTTGAAGATGAGAGGTTTTTAAATATGTTCTATCCAAGCTTGCAGAACATTTGCATTCCTTTTAGTAAAACACCTGAATAGCATGCTAAGAGATCATGCCTGATGCAATCCAACCAAGTGCTGATTACACTTAAAACTACTGAAATCAATAAAATTAATTTTATTCCTTTTTATTCTGCTTCAGACCACAGGCTCGGGCTAACTAACCAATGGAAAAAGCTTTATTCTTATCTGTCAGACACTTTGGGAAGAAAAATGCAAGGCAGTCCTTTGGTGACTATCTGACAAAGGAGACTGTTAGCTTTTAAGATTTTAAAGGAAGGTTTCTGAGGAATTATTGTACAATCTACGGAACCATAAATTCTATTGATTCCACAGGCCAACTCTAACTGCAATACACTGCGCTAAAGTAAATCACTACACTACTACCAGAATGGGCCCATTTAAATCAAGAGAATTTATGGAGAAAGCAAATCACCAAATCCCCACTGATCAATAGGCCTACTCTTGTGCAACTTACTACACTTAGTAACAGGACTTCAGCCATTATTTTGATGGGGATTAGCATGTGGAAAGTGCTGCATTGAGATTCTTAAATTCAATTCAACAGCAGGAGTGCAGATGCAAAGCTCCTTAGGTAGAGCTGAAATCTTGCCAGTTACTCAGGAAGGCTAAGATATTCCTCTTCCCCACTGTGACAAACAGTTGATGTTTCTACCCTTGTTTTCCTTTAAATCTTGCTACCCTTTTTCCTTTAAAAGAGGTTTGGCATGTATTATCCTATATGCACTCTTACTGCATTGGAGTTGAAGACAACAAGGGCTTCAAAGAAACTGAAAATAGTATAAAAACCCGAAAGGCTGCAAAGATAATACCCACCCCTGATTTGTGTTTGGATAGATCCATCCCAAACTGTGCAGGCCCTGCCGTCAAAACTACTCTGCCAAAGAAGGGGTGGGAAACAATTTGAACTGCTCGAGGAGGTAGCTGCTGCTCTTTCTGCTGCTGACTGGAAAGCTCGATCATTTCTTGCATGAACCGTAAACCATCCTCAGCATCAAGTGAACTCGCCGCCTATGAAAAATAGGTCAAGAAAGCAAATTATACAATTTAGTGTCACAGTATGCTGGTTAATACATCTTAAAAAATTATCTGCACCCAAATGCTTAGGCATAATTGAAGAGACTATTATGTCACCTCAGATATAATTACAGCATCAAGAATAAGATGGTACAGTCTGAATCTTTCACACAAATTAAGGCAATTTTATGAAAAACTGCTGTCTTAAATTAAGGAAAGACTGGACACCCAATTTGTCCCAGACTAATGCTATATAAGTAAGGGATGTGGTGGCGCTGTAGGCTAAACTGCAGAAGCCTGTGCTGCAGGGTCAGAAGACCAGCAGTCATAAGATCGAATCCATGCGACGGAGTGAGCTCCCGTCGCTTTGTCCCAGCTCCTCGCCAACCTAGCAGTTCGAAAGCATGTAAATGCAAGTAGATAAATAGCTACCATCTCGGTAGGAAGGTTAAATGGAATTCCCTAGTCACACTGGCCACGTGACAACGGAAAACTATCTTCAGACAGGCGCTGGCTCTATGGCTTGAAAAGCAGGATGAGTGCCGCCCCCTAAAGTCAGACACGACTGGACTGAAAATGTCAAGGGGAACCTTTACCTTTGCCTAATGCTATATAAATAGACACAAGGAGAATCCTACTGAGGGCTAAGGCAAGACTATTCTCTTACTTGGATGGCATGTTGCACCAACTGGACTCGTCCATCCTTTAGATGAATTAAGCTGACTCCCATTTTCTTCAGTATCTCTAAATGCTCAGGATTACTGGCCATGAAATCTCTGGCTCTCAGAGGAGGCTTTGGTCCATTGCCAAGACTCTCCTCCCTGCAAAAGAAAGAGAGCTCTAGCATCACTTTAAGAACAGAACTATTCTCTAAAGCAGTCATCAACTTGTTTTGGCCATGGCCATAAAGACAATATTAAAGAAATACAGGCTGAATCAAGATCGCATAAATTGCATAATAAACCTTGTGAGGTGGTGTGTGAAGAACTGTTTCCAGTATGTGCACCCCTTCCAATGTGCCATGGCCTCGAGTGAGAATGGATGGCCTTAAGAATATACAGTGGTGCCTCGCTTAACGGGCGCTCCATTTAGCGATGAAATTGCTTAGCGATGACTTTTTCTGAGTGTTTTTGCATTTTGTTTAGCGATGGTCCGTATGGGCGATTTTCGCTTAGCGATGGTTGGGACCATGCTACGCATAGTGATTAAATTTTGGGTCCCCTGTTTCACTTAATGATGGTTTAAACAGCCTCATGTTTGCTGTTTTTTAAATGTTTTGCTGTTATATATAAAGTTAAAGTTTACTGTTTAAAATGTTTAAAATCATAAAGTGCACTTAATAAACCCTTTGTTAAGCAAATTTGACTTTGTTCTGACTCTTTTTTAATTTGTTGTTGTATTTTTTCCCCCATTGAGATGCATTGAATAGGTTTCAATGCATTTCAATTGGGGAACCATGTTTCGCTTAGCGATGTTTCCTATGGCGATTTTCCCTTAAGGATGGCAATTCGTTCCTATTGGAACAGATTATCTGGTTTTCGGTGCATTTCAATGGGAAACCGCGTTTTACTTAGCGATGAAATCGCTTAGCAGCGAGTTTTTCAGAACGAATTAACATCGCTAAGCGAGGCACCACTGTAGTTGGGATATGTAATTAAATGAGTAATAAACATGGTTCTTAGAAGGAAGCAGTCTGGTTGAATACGCACTTTCATTTTCCTTCCTAGAAGAACCTTTATAGTCTTGCTTTCTCCCTCTTGGCACATGTTCCACTGCAAAAGTATATACAGTAAACAAGGGCTAAAAGTTTGATTTTTTCCTTTTTTTGTTTGTTCACACAATAAATTTCTTATCATGCTCTCCCCCTAAACCTAGCTAAAAGCCACCTATCTTCCTGCATTCTACTCATCCTGAATCTGTTGTCCATTTGCATTCACACATTCACTTGCTCACTTACACACACCTCTGACTGACATATTTTGAAAGGATTGATATGGTCAGATCCATGCGTTCAGATCACTCTTCTCTCCCTGCACAGGGCAGGATAAAAATAAGTGTTTTGAAATAGGCCAACCCTTCATAGGCTGTAAACCTATGCCTTGTCCATCTCTGCCAGACTGTACAGCAAGACTACAATTAGCACTCAAGATGTCTTAGAAGAAAATGGAGAACCAACTGAATCAGCATTAACCATAGTCATTTTAATGGTATGCTAGGCGTTCCAGAGGACCAATCTACCTTTGGTGCAGAGCAGACAGATCAGCCCCCAGATCTCTCAGAGGCTCTATCTCCTTTACGTGGACCAGCCCCCTGCCAAGCACTACAACATGGGTACTCAAGTGTGCACATTGCAGAGCATCAGGAGGAAATGCGATAGCACTATACGTGGCATTAACCTATTCCATATGACCAGGTGTCTCGCTGGAGCACAAAGCATTAGAATATCTATGATGTATAGCAAAGGTAAACATTGTGGTGTTATGTTAATGCTGCTTGTGTAACAACTGAGATTCCACTTTAATCAAATCACAACCTAACAGAACTGTACACAAGCAATCTTGTATACATATTAATCTTTAGGTTAAGCCACTAGCTCCCTCCTTTGCTCTTTTGCTTTTCACTTTCCTACCATTCAGCTCTTTGGTGTATGAACTCCACGTGTAAAACATGGCAACCGATTATGAATGGAGGTAATAGTGAGGATGGGGGTGGGGGATCTGTTTAAATAAACTGCAGGTCTTTCTTCCTAACAGAAAATGCTACTTCTGATAAACCAAAGTCAAAAAGTTTAACATTTCATGACATAATTACATCTGCATGAACATTTTGATAGCCCAGGAACAAGCAACTCTATGAAACAATGCAAGGATCAAATAACCTCATCTAACTCAAAAAATGTGAAGAAAGAAAGAAATAGGCTCAACCTAAGGGAAGCAATTTGCTTTTTTGTTTTTGCTTTTTTAAAATCAGTGTACAGAAAGCATAAACAAATCTTACACTCTGGAAATACTTCTAGGACAACTCTTATCCACCACATTTTTCAGAGGCTCCCTGATACTCTGTGCATACATAGGGTCATTTGGGAAGAGGATTTGGGTGTTAGGGCACGTCCAGTCAAAGTTAGTGTCATCCAGCTCCGTGTATTCTGTGGTCTGTAAAGGAAAAAAGGTCACTCAAGTTCGCTCTCTTTAAAACTCAGTTTTATGACCAGAAGCCATAATGTTATTGTAGGAAATGCCCAACAGAAAAGGGCCTATGTAAGCAGAGACAAAATCTTCCTTAAAAGTAAACACAATTTCATGCAAAACATGTAACAACCCAGATCTGTATGCAGCAACACCAGCTATTCTTTGTGTGACATTATAAGAAGAATGAAAATCACATTTTACTTCAGAATACGAGTTCAGAATTGCAACTGAATTAGTAAACCAGCACTCACAATATTTTTCTTAGGAGCTGTTTGGTTTGTAGTAGACAGCCAGAGAGGCAGTAAGTGAGCCTCTGTAGTAAATATATAATCTTCTATATCAAAATTCAGGTCTTCTTTATCAGTAAAAAGCAGATATAAATATTTGAACATTTCAGCCAAGAAGAACGAGTCCATCCTAGAAGGGAGGAGCGGAGATAGAAGTCTGAATATCATTTGTTTCTTCATAACATCACAATAATGGCAAAATAGGAGACAAAATCTTCTTTTGAACAAAATTATGATAACATCCATGGCAGAATGAGTGTCAGTAAGACAAATCTCACAGTCTTATTTTTCTCCCCACACTCCATTTGCAACAAAGCACACACATTCTAGGTATATCAAATGTCCTCTATTCCCATATGGCATCTCCCCATGAGTCTTTGCTAAAGGTCTAACAGGGGCCTCCTTATCCGCATGCTGTTTTGATATTGCTACTTTGTTTGGAGCAGCTAGGAAGGGCTTGGATCTGGAGTTGCCTTTCCAACAAGTGGAAAATCTTTTCTGCTCACAAGGGGGTTGTATCCAACCCTGCAAAGGAATTATATGTGAGAAGAACCCCAAAACAGAACACTTCTATTTATACAAATTGTTTCTGAAGATCTTTTTCTGTTCCCCCATCTATACACTACAACCTGTATCTTCCTTAATTACCATATTTTTCATATTATAATATCCTACTGTTGATATTTCTTTTACTTGTTCATTTTATTCAATAAATTTATAAACCACTTAATGAAAGGATTTACTAAACCAATGCACTCTCTCTATATAGATGTCTCTGTCTGTCTATCTATCTATTGAAGCACGCAAAGCATACTCAATTAGAATTTTTTTTTTGAGGAAGTGTGGCTGCAAAGCATGCACCTGAAGTTCACAATTGCTGGCAAACTGTTGAAGGAATAAGGCAAGACATCTTCCACTAGCTTGTGCTAGAGCAGCGGTCCCCAACCTTTTTGGGACCGCAGACCAGCTGAGCCTCCAAGGAAGGCGGCCTTCCCCGCAGGTGTGGGCATGCTCTCAGGCGCATGCGCGAAGTGATGGGGGAGTGCTCGCCTGCCAGCATCGGCTTGAGTACTCCCCCACCCCTTCGTGCATGTGCGCGGGCACTTGGGTGCATGCGTGAAGGGGTGGGGGAGTGTTCACACTGGCGCTGGCATGCATGCACATGCACAAAGCAGCTGTGGGGAGGGGAATGCGTGCGGGGGGGTTGTCTTTACGGCCCGGTTCGGCTCAGGCCACGGACGGACACAGGGCTGCAGACCAGGGGTTGACGACCTCTGTGCTAGAGCTCCAAGAAGACCAGCAATCAATTTTCTCTTTACAGTCACAGGCTTTTTTTTTGGGCCCAGGCCATTGTTTTCAGTTTCTTCCATTACCACAGAGCCTTCATTTAAACAGGCTTTTTATTACTATTTGCAACTTGGAAGTCCAAATCCATAAATACTTAAACAGATAAAAGAAAGAGCAGAAACAACTTGAGCAGCATCAAAATCTTAGTAAAACTCAGACGTAGAAATTCCATTGATACTAAACCCTACCTATATATTCCAAGCATCAGTTGATCAGCAACAAAATCGAATCTTCCAATTCAATTCAATTCAATTCATTTATTCATTAAAAATTTTACCCTACCCATTTAGTGGCCAGGTCACTACTTTGACTGGCTTATGATAAGAATACCAATATCACCATAAACAAAAATTCAACAATAAACAAATAAACATTAAACAAGACAGCAAACAAACCCTAACTTAAATAAAATCTATACGAAGATACAATATGGTGACAGACCAAACAATCAATCATAAAAGCACAAGCTGTCAAAAAGAGACAAAACAAAACAATAAAATTAATTAAATTTCACAAAGAAGCATTACTTCTAAGGCTTACAAACATTTTTCATTTAGTTACCTGTCTTCATGGCTTCCAGTACGAACATCCTTCATAGCAGCAAATCCACAAGGTACACGTGCATATTTATTTAAGTTCTCAATTAGTGTTTTTCCTACTTCTAGGTAGTAGGGATCTCCAGTTGCCTATTTTTAAAACGAGATGTTTTCCATTTTCTTTCAGAGATATACAACATATCAATACATTTCATGTACTTGCTAAATATTACTTTGATATTTTTATATTTGGTCATTTTTTTAAAAAAGTATTTGATCAAAGGTCATGCACAATACAAAAAACATTTCAGTTTGGTTTATCAGTCTGTTCGTCTCTGTAGAGATGAGGCAACCAGCTTGATAAACCAAGCTATACTACAGATTCATAGACAATATTAAAAATAATTTTGGTTTTATCTTTAATACCTTTCCTACTATTTTCTAGGGTTTAATATGTCTTCAATTTGAAGATGACCTTACTTTATACAAGAAATAGGTGCTCTCTGCAAATTCAGGACGTAAAGGGTGCTGAGCCCAATGAACGCGAAAGTCTGTTGTGAAAGCCTGAAGGAGACAGAAGAAGTAAAAGTTAAACTACTGAATAATTATTCTGCCTACAGCACATTAAAGGAGGTAAATATTCCATTAAAGGTCTAGAGTCAATGCATTTTGCAGAGCTCACTCAAGGTAACACAGCATTAGCCTATTGCTAACTTAAGATCTCCCAGGTCTTCATCTAATATGATTCACATGACCACAAACTCTCTCAGGAAGACACTGTTTTAGGTATAGAGACATAAAATATTCTCAAAGACAGTTTTCCAACATGTTCTTCTTGTAATTTAATGTCTGTGTGGTGTAGAAGACAAACCATTAGATCTGGTTTTAGGTCATTCAAGAGCTTTCTGAGATGCCATTGGGCAATCTACTATTTCAAATCCTAAATTATCGCACAGATTTATGATGAGACTCATCCATGGAGAAAGAAGGGGAATATAAATTTTAAAAAATGCCAATATTCTACAACTTCACTTGAGCAACTCTGATTCTAATCAGAATAAGCCTGTTCTAGATCACAGTGTGCCTGCATTTATGCAAATCAAACACTCAGAAGCAGTGTATCAATTGTCAGCCTAAAAAGGGATCTGCAGGAGGTATAGTTTCATGAAGACTACACTTAGGTCAATAAATGGGCAAAACTCTGAACTGAGTTATTTAAAAATAGTATAGACAACAGTGAGCTGCTACAGATCACCAATTCTCTTATTTCAATGTTGTAGGAAACAACAAAGTTTAACTAAAAATAAACATGTAGAGTCACTACAAGTGTACAATCAACTACATGTGTACAGGGGCTTTCTTCCTACTGTAATCGAGAGCAGTTAGTAATTAATTACCAGAAGATCAAAGTTCTCGAGGTCAGTAGAAGAAGAGTAAAGCACAATTGGGCTATCAATGGTCATCCCATAGAGCAGGTTTCCAGCTATAAATACTTGGGCATAATCTTTCATGCCTTGGGTTCCTGGACCCCTCACATGCAGCACTGAATGCTCATAAAAGTGCAGCGGCATTAACAAGATTTTTTCACACCAAAGGGAGTCACCATATCCCCTCAGCCATTCAGGTTTTCAAGGTTAAAGTTGCTGCTCAAATGCTCTACGGGTGCCAACTGTTTGCTTTATCTGACCTGTGTCCTCTGGAGGCAGTTCAAACTAAATTTTTGAGATCTATTTTGACTGTACCCCCTGTACACCTAATGTAGCCCTTCGTTTAGAGGCTGACCTAATTGCCGTACGAGCACGCACCAAAGTCCACATGTTTAATTACTGGCTAAAGCTTCTCTTCTCTTCTGAAGGCTTGGCATAGATGTCACTTTTTGACTCCTTTCAATCAGAATGGAAATTACAAATTACAAAAGAAATAAGGCAAATGGGCTTTTCCACCAATGTTCTTTTGGCGATGGGGAATGTCAGTGCTAAAGCAGCATTCAAACAAAGAAGCTGGGACATAGAACTTCAAGAGCATATGAGCCAGTTGGGCAAATACAGTGTTGTTACTAATAATGCCTTTACAATAGCTTCATATCTGAAGAGCACAATGCCAACAAAGACCAGAAGAGCCTTCACATTAGCGAGACTTAATGTTTTACCCTCTAAACTCATGGAAGGAAGATTTCAGCATATACCTATTTCGGATTGTCCATGTCCATGTAATGATGGCCAAGTGGAAACTGTAGGTCATGTCTTACTTACCGTCTTTTTTATAGAGATCTATGCACTAACCTCTTGAGCCCAATCATATCCAGGGAGACCTGATGAATTTTACATCAAGCTACTTCTTTCCGATCAAGACTCCCTTATTACATGCTCTGCAGCAAAATTTTGTGCAGCAGCAATGGCACAGCGCTCCCCTATAGTCTCCTGAATTCCCATGTCGACTGGTTTTAACACGAGGGTGTTTACTGTCAAGCGCAGAGAAATGTTGTGGCCCCAACCGAAGGGAGGAAATATTTATATTTTAGCCATATAATATGTTTTATGAACTGGCTGTACACCTTTTTAAATTGCATTTTGTGTATTTTAACCACATAATATGTTTTATGAATTGGTTGTAAATTTTTAAACTACATTTTGTATATTTTAACCATAAATATGTTTTATGAGCAGGTCACCCGACCATAATAAATAAATTTAAATTTACTACATGTATAGAGTCACCTGACCGTAATAAATAAATTTAAATTTACTACATGTGTAGAGTCAACTAAAAATAAACATGTAGAGTCACTACATGTGTAGAGTCAAGGGATAAGAATGATTTAAAGAAGCTCTGTACTGCTTAGAAGAGGCAGCATGCCAAAAGCTTTTACAAAAGAACCAAAGATGCTATTTAAACCTGGAATACAATCCATGTAACAGTTCAGCCTTTTGGAATTCTAGCAATCAGAATTAACTAGACATGGTTGGGTACACAACAATCTACATCTTTCAGGAAAAGCATGCTTCTTTTCATAGGCTCAGGGTTACTATATCAAAGCAGGCCCAACCAAAAGATAAATCCAGCAGTCCTTTAAGTTCACAAGAGCACAGCAATTTCAACCATGGAGTGACAGATCTCATTAAACATGACTATATTTGCATGTACTTGACCATAGTCCTTAAGCATTCCTTTCTTTGTGCACTAATCTGTCCTACCAATGCAGTGGGAGGTAAAAAATATCTGTCCATTCAGTTCATCTACACTTACCAAGGTGATATATTTTACTCCAGCAATAATGCCTAAGTCCTGCTGTTTCTGAGAGTGGGGTGTGAAAACACTTCTTGCTCCTCTCCTGCCAGAATATGGATGTAATCAATGTCCTTTTTGCTTGATAATGCCGGTGTCCCAATCATACTGAATTTTTTACTCATATTCAAGCAATTTCACACATAAAGCTTCTTCATACCTCACTTCTCATCACAATACAGGAAGATTAGGAACTGAAGGGACAGAGAATCTGAAGGTGGGGCCCACCTTCACACCCTACCTACTATTAGCCCTTATGTGAGCAGTATGAACAGCTGCACAGGGCTCATCATCTGATATGATATGGGTAAAAATTCTATTGGAGAAACACCAGGATCATAGACGAAAAACAACAGAGTGAAATATGCTCATCTTTATGGCTACACAAATAGAAAATAATGAACCAACCTTCTTTTCTTATTACTATAGGAAATGCTGTACTAATTTAGAGAACTAATTGGATACCAGGAAAAATTCATGCTTTGCTCATCACTAATTAGAAATCAACCCTCACCCAACCAGTTCTTGGCATTAATCTTCCCCAAATAATACGAAATGTGTAATACAGTGCCTCACCTCAGGTAGGAAGTTATGCTTTTTAATCACCTGATACAGCATCTCATGAGTTTCTATAGCTGGCCTAATATCACCTTTCAACACCTAGAATTCAAACAGAAATTATGAAAATTTGCATTGCAAGATCCTGTGGACTTGACAATTTGTTGACAGATAGCGACATTTACTTTCCTACTGACTTAAGGGACTAGCAATTCTACAATTCTGAAAATCCCATCTCTATCTACAACATGCTTTATATTTCTTTTTTCCATGGTAAATAACAATTTCAATTTCCTATATATTCCAAGGCAAGAAGAATCAAAGATATGTAAGCGCAAAGTGACAAACAAGCAAAATACAGTAATCCTACTTGAATTACTACATCTAGGTGAATTGAGACAGGAAAGGCAATTCCAGTACTTAAATATTTGGATGATATGTCAAATAAGCCATATATTTCCATTGCTTATATTCTTCAGGCTGCAAAGCTCTCTTAAAAAAGTAAGATCTGATACAACAAAGCAATTTCCTGGAAATGTTTAAGGTAAAATCAGGTATGTCCAAGACCAATTCTTTACACAGGGTATATTTCAAAGCACAGCAGTAAAATCAGTTATGAAGGGGATTAAATACTATGTATCAAATAAAGTAGTGTCTAATAACAGTATTTCATAAAGCACATGATGACATTAAACTGCAGAATATGGAAGTTACACTTCTACAAGAAAAATATGCAGATAACAACCTCAAATATTATTTATATTTGGGGTTGTTATCTGCATATTGTTCTTTCTTTCAAGTAGAAGTGTATTATTATACTATTCACTAATGGTATAGTACAGCGATGGCGAACCTATGGCACATGTGCCACAGCTGGCACACAGAGCCCTCTCTTTGGGCACACGAGTCATAAGTCACCCTCAAGAAATACTTACCCGTCCTCTGATCCTGGATTCTGTCACTCCCCTCTGCTTGTGCAGTGGTCCAGTGGAGGGGAGCCATGGCGACCACTACTGGTCTAGCCCAACGGGGGATTGGAGGACCGGTAAGTATTTATTTGTTAATTCCGCCCATCGGAAAAAAACACACAAGCATTTAACCCTTGCAGTGCAGTAGTTGTTTTTTTTCTAAACTAAAACCCCAGTATTCAAGTTTTAAGTGCAGTGTTGGCACTTTGAAATAATAAGTTGATTTTGTGTTGCAGTTTGGGCACTCGGGCTCAAAAAGGTTCACCATCACTGGTATAGTATAATTATGGTACAGTCAGAGTAACTTAATTTTGAAGCATGTTTATTTGTGAGTGGAACTAACAGCATATAAAAAGGAAAAAAGGTTAAGAACAGGCAAAAGAACTGTAACAAAGCAGCAACAAAGGATGTTAAGCAGTAACAGAACAATACTAATTTGGCTCCTACTTTACTATGTGACAACGAGGCAAAGTTAGGTGTCTGATATGTCTGATAATAAAAAATTGGGGAACAGAGGATAGAGTTAGTGTGGGCCTAAAGAAATGTAACATCTAAAATTTTAATCTGTGTTGTACAATATGACAAAGTGTTACCTACACAATGCTAGGAAACAGCAGACAAAGTACTTAAAGGGCAAAATCCTGTTGTGTAGTTATGCAAGCAGGACAGAAATGGCATTTCACACAGTGGCAAATTACTGTGTGTTAGCAAGTCCCTATTATTCCTAGGTGTGCAAGTAGGAATCCAAGAATCACACAGTGGCAAATTACTGCGTGTTAGCAAGTCCCTATTTGGATTCCTAGGTGTGCAAGTAGGAATCCAAGAAGAGACTTATTAACCAATGGCAATTTGCCACTGCAAGTTCCAATATTTGCTTTCCACCAACATTAACTACCCAACAGTATCTCCCTCCTCACAACATACTTTGCTAGTTTTCCATCATGATGTGCTGTCAAGTCAATTCTGACTAATGGCATCCTTTTTCAGGATCTTCCTGGTAGAGAATGCTCAGAAGGGTTGACTCTTCCCTTCCATTGGGGGGGGCACCCTGGGAGTGCACAGCTTGCCCAGGGCCACACAGGCTGGCTCCACTTGCCAGAGGCACAGTAGGAAATTGAATTCTGGCTCTGCAGACAGATACCTAAACCACTGAGCTAGCTGACAAAAGCTTATACTGAGTAGATTATTTCTTTCTACTTTATATAATTATACCACCATGGATACATGCAGGGACCAGAATCCATGGTCCCTGAAAGAACTGTAGGTATCAGTACTTGTTTGTTCCCTTTGCATAACTGATCATGCAAAGAGTACAAACCTACCTAGGCAATTATCCTGGAACATGTGGTTTTCTTCCAAGGATTCTGGGCAGAAGCTTTAAATACATTCCACTCAGCACTGCAACCATTCTGTCTTGAAAAAGAATCTACTGTTGCATAAAAATGTGAAAAACGTGGCACCTTTTAAAACATACCTGTAAACCTGGAAAAAATGCTAGCAAAGAGTCCATCCAAGTTCTAGCATTGAGCATTGGTTTGTGTATATGCACATCAAGCAGAAGAGGTGGCTGGCTAATATATCTCATTATGGCATCATAGTGCTGAAAAACAAACTCCTTGTGAGCTCACATGCTCTCTGAATACCAAATCCAACATCAGATTTAAAGCAGATAAACATACTAAAATGAATGCAGATGTAGAGGCTTCTTAAGAACCAAATTTCAAGCTTCCAGTTACTTGTCCAATGTCTGCTATACTCTCTTAGCCTAAACTATCTTATAAAATGGTAGAACAGACACTGATGTACATAAATGAAATTTAAGAAGTCTGTTTATGTGCCTTTTCTACTGGATTAAATTCACCACCAGAAAAAGTCTTAAAAATAATTCCATGAACAAACAGAACTAAGTTCTAAAAGGCTATGGCTTGACACAGATAGTGCATCAGCCATAGGATTATCTGTTATCCCCATCATCAGATTCAGAAAATTCCCCTTAACCAAAATTAAGGGACATCGCACGGACTACCAATCAGGTTAACTAAGTTTCTCGCTTTAAATCAAAGTGAGGTGGGAAACTTGGGGGTCCTTCATAACCTACTACAGGGACTATTTTTATATGAGTTCTTCCTACTTCTAAGAGTTCTTCCCACTTTCTGAAATAATATATGAAAGCTAAAAGCATGTGAGATGGGGTAATTACACAGGTAATCACCTGTGAAGGAACAACAGGAAAGACCCATGCAGTTGATCCTACACATCATTCAAGTCTTTCAGACATTATCACTCCAGAGTGTGGGTGGTGGCAGCAAGTTGCTATTTGTGATGATATGTTCTTTAAGTACAATTAAACAAGAGGGAGGAATTTACTTCCAGGATTTCCAAGCATCACCATGCACTAGTATCTTATCTGCTCTATATCACACATATTAATAGTTCTAATTCAGTTTTAATTTAAGCCACATGGGGCTGAACTAAGCTAGCTTAATTGCTGCTGGATAATTCTGAATTGCTCTGGATCAAAATGCATCCAGAGAGGGCATCCCATGAGCCACAGATAAAGCAGAACTTCTGTTTCTATGTCCACCTTTACAAACTGTCCCATTGCAAGTGTGGGAATGACTCCAGCCCTGGCCTCTCCAATACTTCTGCTGCCAAAACCCAAAGGCCAAAATCCTTCTGTTCTCCTGACACACATCCCAAACTCACAGCAGCCAATTTCTTCCTATTAGAACCAAGACTGAGCATGAAGGAGTCAAAGGAACGGAACTGAAGTGTGTGTATGGGGTGGGTTAAAATTACTGTCCCCTTCCAGCTGCTGATGCAAGCCTGCCAGGGTCCAGAAAAAGGCAGTCTATCTATTTTGGATGCTTTCTCTCATACATTATAGGATTGCCCTGTTAATCCTTTATCCAATACAGTATGACAAGGTAGACAGGTTCTAGGTGTCAGAGGGCCACATGCACCCCGAAATACGGCATTCAACATTAAGCCAGTTTAAAACTGCAATTAGTTTATGTATGTTAAAAGCAACTACATCCATTTTTCAAATGAAGAGAGATTTTGTCTCCATATCAGTAGTTACCTTAGACAGTGAGTCACTAATACAATTAAGTCCCACAGCACATTGACATATTTTGTTATAAGTATTTATGGATAAGAATCCACTTCCTATTTTTACAACTTCTGAATCCAGTGGATTTGCTAACATTTGGAGTTTGATGGACTTCTACATGAAACTGATAAAGGAGTGCATCTTGATAGGGAGTTGGGGTGGTGATTACACCACAGAATGATTGCAGGTTCTGCAATAATATTGCAGAATAAAGAGCAACAGAAACAATTCTTACTATACCTTCCCCTCCGCCTTATATGTCTTTAAATGTTTACCTACTGAGACTATATTCCATGCACTGAAAGAAGCGGGCTGCAGTCCACAAAAGCTTATGCCAAGTAAAACTTGGATGTCTTTAAAGTGGCACAAGATTCTTTGCTGCAACAGGCTACCGACTAACAAAGCAACCACCCTAGAGGATTCCTGCCACGTCTCATGAAATAAAGAGAGAATTAGCAAGTCTACTTACCGTATTAAATCTTTCCAAAAAACTGTCATCTCCTAATAAGACATAGGCCTTCAATAAATATTCATAGTATGAATCTATCCCTGCTCCAACACCACTATCTAGAAATAAGAAAAAAAGTTGTATTATACTTAGGATTAACTAATTGAGTTTTCATTCCAAGGGGGTTTCTTCTGCAGTAAAAGAATTGGTGCAACTGCAGCAAAAACAAACAAAATAAATAAAGAACAAGCAGCAGAGTGGTAAGTGCACGGAGCAGAGTGTGATATTTTTGATTGATGGCAAGACTTCTTTTTGGCATGCAGTTTATGTTTCTGCCCCCATCCTCCATAAAATGCATTTATGAGACTGCATATGCAATCTCTCTAGTTTTTATATTCTCACTCCTTGCCGCATTGAATGTTTGTCATGCTTGAGGAGGAAAAGGTCAATCAATGGACACCAGAAGCAACAGCATGGAATCAATCACTTCCGCAAGGAGAGGGAGTACAAAAACGAGAGAAATTTTATGTGCAGTCTCATAAATGCATTTTATTTGCAGGGAGAGGGCAGTTCATGTTATATTTCATCCATATCTTAAGAAGGATAGCTAATTCCAAACTGACAAATCCTTGGTGATAATAGCTTGCAACATTTACACCTCATCTTTCCTACTACTAGGTAGTGCTCAAGGCAGCTTACATACATAGAAGTTAATTAAAAACATAAATGACAGATTCAACCACAAAATCATTAAAATGATTTTTTTTAAAAAAAACCACAAAAACCATTAAGATCAATAAATCTATTATTAAAATCTAATAATAATGACTATCATAAGCCAGTTTAAAAAGATGTGTGTTCACTCCCCTACTAAAGACAGTGAGAGTGGAAACTGATCACAATATGGAGGGGTGTGTGTTCCATAGTCTGCATCCATGCAAGAGAAAGTTGTCTCCTATGTGCTCATTTGGCCCTGAAACAAGATGCTGGTTTAAAGCTTCAGAGCCCTGAACAATTCAGACCTAGTTATCTGAGGGGACTATCTGTATTGCTATAAACCTATCTGGATGTTAAGCTCTTTGGAAGAGATCTTCTTGTGAACACCAACAGTTGCATAAGTGACACCAGATGCTAGAGGCCATGATGTCAAAGGTAGCTCCCCAGCACCACTTTCTGAATATGACCTGACAGGTAGGATCAGAACCATGCCAGACTAATGCCCTCAACATCTATCCCAGCCAAAAAGTCCAATGGAACACCATGGTAAATTGTACCAAAAGGCACCAAGACATCCAGAAAAACTAACAATGTTAATCTTAACCATTCCCCAGCATATGTATATCCCCAGGACATTTTGTACTTTTTGATTCCCGCAAGAGCCAGAAATCAAAGCTTCATACCTTTGCGGACCCAGTCACCCGTATGAATATTAATAGTGACTCCAACTAAATTGCTGCTCCGTTGCCTTTTCTCCCAAAGAAAATCAAGCGCTTTCCGTGCATATTCCTGTAAGAAAACCAAGTTTCCTAGTTAAATTAAACTTTAGGTGCAAAACTGATGCAGACAACTAGAGCATCAATTTCTCTCCAACTGTAATACAGTATTACATGAAGTTGAAATATTTAGTAAACTGTATTGTATCAAGAGAGAGGATGGTCTTAAGAAAATTATTTAACATTTTTATCCGCAAAATCATTGTATTCTTTGCTACTAATAAGGAAAAGAATGTGCTATTTGCAGCCCTTCAGATGTTGTTGGGACTCCAGCTCCTATTAGCTCCAGCTAGCGTGGTCAGATGTACCTAGCTCATCCTTTAGCTGGAAATGTGGCCATTCTAGTCTAAAAGCCAGTTGTTCTTTAAGGCTGGAATTACTGAACAACACACAACACACTATTCTCTGTAAACTCTTATCTGCTGTAGGCAACTAGGAAAGTCCAGAACAGCATGACTGCTACAGGATTCAAAAAGTCATGGTATGACCAACTGGTGATAGACTGCAAGTAAATCCACAGTACGAGCCTTTTGGATACCTGAAGAAGTGGATAATAAACTACACAGCTAGTTTGTGACAGGGTTATTTGATTTATAAATGGAATATTTCTAGCACATTTAAACCCACAACTCAAACTATCCATAGGAAAGCATGTTATGAGCTTCTGCTACAATAGGGCTTGTAACTAGTTCAGTAACGGATACATCACTGGTAGACTTACCGTATTTTTTCATGTATATGACCCCCCAATGTATAAAACCACCCCCTAATTTTGAACCTTGCCAGAGGCGGAGGAGCAGTTAATGGGCAACTGCTCCTCCACCTCTGTCTCCTGCTGCCTCTCCCACCCGATCACCTCCTCCAGTGTGACTGCCTCCAGCTCAAGTCATTGCCACCTTGTCTCCTGCCCAAAGGGAACGCTGGAGGAAGCGATGTGGCAGCAGCAGTCAACGGGCAGCAGCAAGAGGCGCCCGAATGTGTGCAAGTGCCCCTTTGTCTCTGCCTCCTTCTGTGTATAAAATGACCCTCAATTTGTCCCCTAATTATTTAAGGAAAACGTGTCGTTTTATACACGGAAAAATGCAGTAATTCTACCAGCCACATATAAAATACTCTAGTTTAATCAAATTACAACTACACACGAGATGAATCTTGAGTCGTTAAGCAAACCTCAAATACTGATGCTCCTGTGAAGCGGCTCAGAGCAGCAAACTCCAAGATCAAGGTACCCGCACAAGCTGTGCAAGTGTCTGTCTCTGTTCCTGTCCGAGCCTCTGGACTCCTCACACCAAATTTTAAGTTAACCTAAGAGAAAGAATGCTAAAACTTTTTACTGCAACAGTGCAATTTCCTATGTAACCAGATGAAGTTGATTTCTTATATTAGATAAAACAAAAGCTATTAAAATAAAGTGTACACTGCATTAAGGAGAAAAAAATGTATTAAATAACTTCAAGCAAAGATTAAACACAGAAAACAGGAAACATCATGAAAAGTTCGCAAATAAGTGTTGGCACAAAGACTGATTTAAACTAGATTGTTTTCAAGTAAGTTGACTTAATACAGTACAAGTTGCTAAAGCTGACACTCATTCTGCCACTCTGATTTACATCAACTTATTTAGTGCAATAAAAGCTGCTGAGGTTCACACTGATTTTTAAAAATGAAGAAGCCCATTACAGAATTCTGACAAAGGCATCTCAACTGAGCTACTGTCATAATTTAAAAAATGTTTTTATCAACATCACATAGAGTAATATCTAGGCAACTGCATTCTTGTATACATTTTATAAAATCTAGGCTAAAAAGTGAGCACTGGCAGTAGAGTTCCAGATCAACTATTTGAGTATCTTTCAGTGCTGAACAGAACCCTATGCAATTCTACAATAACCACAAACCAGAGCCAAACTCAAAAGCAACCAAGGACTGTGCACACACTCTCTAAAGTTCCCATTGCAGCACTCTGCACTCCTAAACTCTGCGCTATTTTAACAGCAGCTTGCTTTCCAATGGTGAACCTGCTCTAGAAGGGACCTCAAACTGAAAGGAGTCTCTCGCCACAACTACATGGACATCATGGCCTCAAACTGTGGCACATGAAAACAATTGTTTAGGTTATTAGAAGAATAATTACTACTGCTCAACAGATAATTTGTTTTGGATGTTGTTACATAAACAAATAAGCATCTGGTCTGGGTAATTTCAAGGGTTGGCATTTTTCACGTCATATTCTGACTCTGAGGTTCTCAGCCAAGGATATCAACAGTGACATCTCACTGGTCATTACATATCAGGAGGTGGCAGCAGCTATAGTTTTGGGGAGTCCTAGGGAAAGTATGGGTTGAAGAATCTAAGGGTCCCTGTTGGGGTTCCTTAAATATATGAAACCTATCTAGAATAATTGTTTTATACTAAAAACAGATGTTCTGTGCAGCACAGCATGATTTTACTATAAAAGGAACAGCATTTGCTCATAGTCTACTTACTCTTGGGTAGGGGAGACCACTGGTGGTGTTAAAGGCTGGCAAGAGCTTATAACCCAGCTGTTTTGCCATGTGTAGAAGTTCCCCGTTGTACCACTGCATTTCACCTTTCTCTTTGAGCATGATTGCTACTGAATGACCACCTAAAAGACCTCTAAATACAAAGAAGTAATACTATTTAGAAACTGATTATGAAAAATCCTCTCACACAGAAATGCTTAAGAGTAGGATCCATACATAGGTAACTAGGCTTGACAATGGTCAGGCTTAACACCTTATAGGGCAAGGAACAGTGAGTAGGAAATTCAGTGCACAAGGTGGAAGAAAAGGTAATGTGAGATGATAACAATTGCTTCAGACAAAATAGTTAGCAATTTTATCTCTATTAACTAAAAATGTATAGGTACAGAAAATGATGTTAATGGTGATCTGAATTGTCTCCAGCTTAGACAAATGCATATAAGTAAGGCTTTATTTGTGTTGCTATTCCTGAGGAGTGCAAAACTTTCACAGAATGTGGTGCAAACTGCAGAATTTAGCTTCCTGGGAATCTCATCAAAACTCTACTATTGTGTTTCCCCAAAAACAAGACAGGGTCTTATATTAATTTTTGCTCCAAAAAACGCATTAGGGCTTATTTTCAGGGCATGTTTTATTCTTTTCTTGTACAGCCATCTACATTTATTCAAATAAAGTCATGTCATCTTCTTCTGGTGGCTGCACCATGGTGGATGGTGGGGTTTAACTTAACTGGGGGTTATTTTTGGGGTAGTGCTTATATTACGAGGATCCTGAAAAATCATACTGGGGCTGATTTTCAGGTTAGGTCTTATTTTCATTGAAACAGGGTAGATCGTGTAAAAAGGAAATTAGTTCAGCATCCCATTTTTCACAATGGCTAGAATGTATGTACATATGTATATATGCATACATTGTATGTATTTGATTTATATATCACCCCTTCAGTGCTAGCAATACTCTGGCTGGTTTACACATTAAAACTAAAACCCCATGAGACCCAATATAACAATACAGTCAATATGGCTGTTTATAGATATGGGTCTAAAATTCCTACAAAAGGAAAAGTAGGCCCAGAAGTGACAGTACAGCCCTTTCTTGTTGCTATTATACATTAATCTGGAAACATTTTTTTAAAAGGATGACTACATTTAAAAGTCATCTTAAGGGACCAACATCACATTTTGTGGTATCTTTGCTTCTTGTCCTTACACAAACATGTTCATAGAAACTTGTCAACAATAACTGTTGAAATATCACAAGCCAGAGTCAACCACCATTTGACAGATTGAGCAAGGAACAGTGAGTAGGAAATTCAGTGCACAAGGTGTCTTTTCCTTTGAAGCATAAAACTTACCCAAGGACTCGGATGTTGGTTTCAAACACTGATACTACAATGTCATTGTCTAGATTAACATCTCCGATCACTTTTTTAACAGCTTCTTCAAACTCTTTGGTTTTATTTAACACCTGGGGGGGGGAAAAATCCTGTCAACAACCTGATTCCCTCTCATAGAAACAGTTCACTAGAACAGCGGTCCCCAACCTTTTTGGGGCCACAGACTAGTTCAGGGGAGCGAGCTCCATGCGCGGTGGGTGTCACGCTTGCACGGGGGGCTGTCACCGCACAGGGGTGACACGCCCCCTGTGCAAGGGTGACACGCCCACTGCTAGTGCAAGAACCCCCCCACAGCGAGCGTCACACGCCCACCGCACATGCATGCAGGGGTGAGATCCGTATCTGCAGCCCAATTCCAGCAAGCCCATGGACCGGTAACAGGTTGTGAACCGGGGGTTGACGACTCCTGCACTAGAAGACGTATTGTGGGCTTTATTTTTAAAAACAGATTATTAGATCATAATATAGTCAGATGAAATTTTGTAAACACTTAATAAAATTGTTAAAAGTGGAAACATGATCACAGGAAAATATGCAGGAGCAACAACAACAAAGATTAAACTTACCACAAGAGTGTCCAAAGTATCAATCAAAGTCAGTGAAAATCTGGGTGAAGAGTGAGAAGAGAGCAAGGAAAACTTAAATAAGTACATTATAAGTATTACAATAAACTATCTCAGCTACAATTAAATATATTCTGATGTTCCTTACTAGAGCAGCAGTGTGAACGGGAAAATTATCATGCAAATGGACCACATGCGGTTGTACATGTGTGTAAGAGTTGCACACACAAAATCCAGATTATTTTTGTAGCTCTCTCAATTGATGAAATGAACTATTGTTTGAAATTCTTTTACATTCCTTGTACAATACTCCACAGTTCCACCTCTCTCATCTCCAGGACAAGTGCTGATTTGCAGGCAGATTCTGACAGGCCCTCTCACCAAATACATAACTTAGTCACACAATTTATTACACATTATGTATATAGAAAGAAAACAACTGATTCTACTTTATCACAGCTATCAGGTAACACAGATTCTTGTTCCTCTATAAATAAAGGGGAAACGGTATTCATCCCTGACTCTGCAGTACAGATATTACATGCTACGGAGTGTAGGAGAAAACCTTGTTCCACCAATAAATAAAACACAGTGCCTATGTGTATATGTGTCTGTGGATCTTCCCAATCTCTATGAATCTTATACAATATTTTTATTGCCAAGAAAGGCCAAATAGATTGTACAAGCAAAATGCAATGACATAGGCCCAGTCACATTAAGATTCTGAGAGTACTACTACTCTGAGTACTTCTGAGAGTACTACTACTCTCAGAGACTACACAAGCCCTGAACTTATGTATATGTATAGTATATAATACTATAATACAATAATTATACCGGAACACATTCATATTTAAAACTGTCAATATACATTAACTTTAATCTCTATAAACATAAATTCCAATACTACTAAATGCTATATCCATTTTAAAATATCAAATCATTTCTAGCAGAGCAATTAAGGTGAACAATTCCATATGCTTTGAGTTCTGGTACATTATAAACTCTACTTCTGAACAGATTTACTATAGATGTGTCTACCTTCTGGAACTTTAACAATTTGGTTAATGTCCCATACTTTTAAAAAACAATTTATTATTGCTGGTGGATCCTTTACCTTTGTAAAATACTTCTTCCTAGAAGCCTACAATAGATCTTACCACAGATTCACAAGTGATGGGGCTATTTACAAGTCTATGCTGAGTGACAGACTATGTATGAAGTCAATGAAAGATATGTACCTACTACTATGTAAACAGCAGAAGAAAACAATCTCAGCAACATTAGGATCATAAGAAAAAGGCTGGAGCCCTAAATTTTCCCTCTGTCATGGACAACCAAGAATTTCTGCTCCAAAAGCAATGTTTTGATTAGGACTGCTGACAGGAGAGAAAGGGCTAAACTACTATACACCTCCCATGATTACCCTGCATAGTCCTGAGGCTGCTTAAGCTTTTTTTAGACTATGTGGATTACACAAATGTGCATATTAACCACATTCATGCAATTATTTCCATGTCTAGTTTGCCCTTATTTTGCTTTGGAATATTCTCCTCTATTCTTAATTTCTCAAGAAGAAATGATCCCTGCCATTGTAATTATCCAGTATTGACATTCAGGTCAGGTAGATTCTAAATACAAACGTATAGCCCAAATCCCGAAATAAAATGTTGCAGTTTCATCATCAATATAGTCATTTCAAACTACTAACTTTCCCAAGGCATCATCCACATCCCCGCGACTTGGTTCTTGACCCCGAACTCTTCCACGGCAAGTTAAAGGCATGAGCTCATCAGCTGGGTAGGCATGTTCCTGTTCATTGTAAAAATGGAAAATGAGACACATAGGTTGGTAGGCATGTTGAAATTCATGGCACAGTTGTATCTAGGCCTTAATATAAATATGGGAATTAAAGAGGCACACAGTCTCTACAATCATGGGAGCCTATGTTTACAAAAATAAAAACTGCTGAAAAGCTCTGAGTAGAACACCTATTCTCTGGCTGGAATGATTAGCATTTTATCTAAGTGGCAATAGAAGCTTTCCACATAGGAAAATAAATATACAAAAATATTTAGAAAATATTTTTTAGAAAATTTAGAAAAACACAAGCCACTACAGTGTGTTTTTAACAGGTAGCCTTTTCTGTGATTTTGTGGTGGTGTTCTGGTTTATTCAGAACATAGCTTGGTATGTAACACTTAGGTAGCCACAATTTTTTCTATCATGATCTTTCTCTCATTCTCCACATCTTGTATCTTGAGTCATGCAGAGTAGCCACTCTCTTCCTACTGAAAGTACACCATTAATGTGAGCCACAATTACATGGTTATTTTAAAAACTGAATAAAAACCTTGGCTGTTTAAGGCAAGATTGAAAGGTCTGACAGTGGAATCCCAGATGTACCTATTCAAAGTAAGACCTATGATTCAACAGGGATCATTTTGAAGTAAGTGGTTATATGACTTACAGGGCAAACCCAAGAAGGAAGGGGCCAAGGCCACTTACATTCCCTTGCAGAGCCTCAGGATCTATCATCCATTGGCAAAATGTGGACAATTTAGTAGTGTAGCTTATTTTGGTGCAAGGTTAAGATCACTTTAATTTGGTATGAAACCGTAGTGGAAAAAAACAACCTTCAATGATTATTAGAGCTGACAGATATTACCCTGTTTCCCTGAAAATAAGACCTATCCTGAAAATAAGCCCTCGTATGATTTTTCAGGATGCTTGTAATATAAGCCCTACCCCCAAAATAAGCCCTAGTTAAGTGAAACCCCGCCCTCCACCATGAAGCAGCCACTAGAAGATGACATGACTGTATTTGAATAAATGTCGATTGTTGTACATTAAAAAAAATCCCCTGAAAATAAGCCCTAATGCGTTTTTGCAGCAAAAATTAATATAAGACCATATCTTATTTTCGGGGAAACACGGTATATAGTAAAATGCATTCATGTTTCCATTATACATATAAGAAAATAAATTTTCAGCATATCTTCAAAACAAAAACAAGAACTCAACTCAGCACTTAGCAGTAGCCCATAAAATCTTACTGTCATACAAGTCTTAAAACCTTATCTTGCTTGTCAAGCAAGAATGCAATTTGTTTGTTTAAGGTCTTAGTATACGTGGCAAGTAAATATCCTTTTGACTTTAAAGGTTCCAGGATATGCCAAGTCATACTTCCTTATAATCCAAACATTTCATGTTATAAGTATAAAGAGAAAGTCATTTTCCTTCTGTCAACAAGATGACAATACAGAACATCCAGTTTAATAATATATTTCTCTTCCCTGACTCTGCAAGTGTCAGTCTTACTGTGTACTAAACAAATTTCCCACTGTATTCTATACACAACAGACACCACTGACTTGGGTTCCACCACCACAATAATCTGAGATTTGTATTCTTGAAGGCTGAGATTTGCTTCACATAATATAAGGCATTATATACATATTTTAAACCATGTTTACTAATAACCCAAGTCAAGTGCTTTACACTCACTGCACCTATTCTTATCATAGCCCTACAAAGATCAGCATTATTACTCCAATCTAACTGAAGCACAATAGAAAGAACAATATGTCTGTTCAGAGCTCATGGCCTCAGGCACCAGTATATTTGCTCTTATAGCAATTGTACTTGATTAGTGTTCCTTGCTGGGAAGGCAGGGAAATGGCTTTCTGTTTTAGTTTGTTTTCATGAGTATCAGGCATAAAATCTACATCACATAATATCTGAAGTGATAAATAGCAGTACTACTAACATACAGTCATGTGAAAAAGAAATGCATGCTCTTTGAATTGTACGGTTTTATGTATCAGGATATAACAAAAATCATCTGGTCCTTAACAGGTCTGAAAATTAGATAATACAACCTCAGATGAACAAGAACACACATTACATTGTGTCATGATTTATTTAACAAAAATAAAGCCAAAATGGAGAAGCCATGTGTGAAAAACTAAGTACACTCCTACTGATTCCATAGGAATTAAGAGGATAAGTAGCAGCCAGGTGCTGCTAACCAAATGTCCTTGAAAAACTGATCATCAGCAAGTATGACCACCTCTATAAAAGTCAATGTTTTAGCAGTCTGCTGGTCTGGAGCATTCAGGTGTGTGTTAACACAATAGCCAAGGAGGAAACACAATGGTGGCAGAGGAGCAATTGTTGCTGCCCATCAATCTGGAAAGGGTTACAAGGTCATTTCCAAACAATTTAAAGTCCATCATTCTGCAGTGAAGAAGATTCAAAAGTGGAAAACATTCAAGACACTTGCCAATCTTCCCAGGAATGCACATCCAAGCAAATTCACCCCAAGGTCAGACCTTGCAATGCTCAGAGAAATTGCAAAAAACCCAAGAGTTACATCTCAAACTCTACAGGACTCAATTAGCATGTTAAATGTTAAAGTTCAAGGCAGTACAATTAGAAAAAGACTGAATAAGTATGGTTGGTTTGAAAGGGTTGCAGGAGAAAGCTTCTTCTCTCTAAAAAGAACATGGCAGCACAGCTTAGGTTTGCATCCGGACAAATCACAAGACTTCTGGAACAATGTTCTTTGAACAGACAAGCCCAAAGTGGAGATGTTTGACCATAATGCACAGTGCCACATTTGGGGAAAACCAAACACAGCATATCAACACAAATATATACCAACTGTCAAGCACGGTGGTGAAGGGGTGAGGCAGTACAATTAGAAAAAGACTGAATAAGTATGGTTGGTTTGAAAGGGTTGCAGGAGAAAGCTTCTTCTCTCTAAAAAGAACATGGCAGCACAGCTTAGGTTTGCATCCGGACAAATCACAAGACTTCTGGAACAATGTTCTTTGAACAGACAAGCCCAAAGTGGAGATGTTTGACCATAATGCACAGTGCCACATTTGGGGAAAACCAAACACAGCATATCAACACAAATATATACCAACTGTCAAGCACGGTGGTGAAGGGGTGATGATTCAGGCTTATTTCGCAGCCACAGGACCAGGGCACCTTGCAGTCACTGAGTCAACCATGAACTCCTCTCTATATACTAAAGTATTCTAGAGTCAAATGTGAGGTCACCTGTTCAACAGCTAAAGCTGGGCAAAATTGGGTGATGCAACAGGACAATGATTCCAAGCACACCAGCAAATCTACAACAGAATGGCTGAAAAAGAAAAGAATCAAGGCGTGCAGTCGAAGTCCAGACCTCACAAGCCGACATAAATGCTATGGCCAGGACCTTATGAGAGCTGTGCATAAACAAATACCTGCAAACTTCAATGAACTGAAGCAACGTTATAAAGAAGAGTGGGCAAAATTCCTCCACAACACTGTGAGAGACTGATAAAGTTATATAAAAATGGCTTTATTTTTGTAAAATATATCATGACATGGTGTAATATGTCATGTGTTTACCTGACATTGTAATTACCTAATTTTCAGGCCTGCTAAGGACCAGATAATTTTTATTACGCCCTGATACATAAAAGCAAAGAATCCAAAGAGAATGTACTTTCTCTGAGCTCCACTATTTTTAAAAATAGATCTGGTTATTATTTATGTTTCACTTCACTTAACATTAGTGTTAACTAGTGTTAATTAAATGTGCATAAAAGTCCTTCAAGAAATTGTTGTTTGTTATGGGTAAGTAGGTGAGGTTTTATTAGGACTGAAGTTTCAAAGCCCAAAAGCAAACACATCAAGACAAATGCATGAAAGTGTAACAGAAGTTATTGTTTCCCCATTAACTGAAAATGATGATTTCTTGACTCTGACATAAACTCAATTTATGGCTATGTTTCCTTACTCCTGACTGATACCAGAGTCACATCCATTAAGTATTTATAACTTCAATCTTACAGGTTGAATTGAAGGGCATTTTCTTTGAATGAATCCCATAAAGAATGTACAGAATTGCATCCATAGTCTCTATATTAACGTAAATAATCTTTGGCCAAATAGCATTAAAACAAACTTAATATCAAAATGCAAGATTGGTTATTAAGTAGCTTTGCTATATCGGTCAAAATCCCACTAGTTACACCCACTGGTGTAACACAATCAGCATACATCTTGGTGACAAACAGAGTATGCAAGAAAACAACAGCAAATGCCTACATTGATTTGCTCCAATGCACCATGCAGATTTAAAGCAATTGTGCTATGCTACACAGTGTAAAAATGTCACAGGATTTTGGCCATTAGCATAAAAGTATGAAAAATCCATTAATGTATTAACAGAAGAATTACGTTAATTCATTTTTTTATTTATACAGTTTATATACTCCCCATCTAGCTCCCTGGGCTATTCTGGAGGTTCACAAAAAAGGAACAAACATTAAATCATAGTTACATACACATAATTACTACTCAAAATTAAATAAACGTATCATCAACTAAACACAACATATGAGAAGCATATGTTTGCTTTTCATATGTAAGCATATATAACACCTCTATGAAGGTTACTGTTTGTTAATTTGGAAAGAAGCTTATGCAGAGGTCTACTGGTTTAAGAAATTACACACAGAGAAATCAAAAATATAAAATATAATTTAACTACGTGAAAAATCTCAGAACACTAATCCAAAAGCAGACCGAATCAATTATTAATTGTTGCAAGTTAAGCAATGTTCAAAATAATTACGTGTCATTTTCCTTACCATGTAATTACTATAGGCATGATCAAACATTTCCACTACTTGATTCCTGAAAAAAGAAACAAAAACAGAATGACTGAGTTAATTAACTGAAAAACTAAAAAAACTAAAAGTAAAAACAAACTATAAATGGAAATAGCTACTGAAATAAAAAATGAAAACACAATGAGATCTAGAGTATCTTCCAAACTGATAAAAGTAGTAGTGATCAACCAAGACAAAAAGCCATCAGTCATAAATATTCACTATTTCTGGATACAAAAAAGATACGTAGTATTTAAACCACCAGCAGCAACAAAATCAAACAAGCAAAGAATGCTGTTTACATCAATATCTATCCCATACTTAAATATTTTTAAAACTGCAGTTTAAAACCAAAGCTAAGATTCTCTCATGTTGGCTCACATGTTATAAAGCCAGGAAACAGGAAGCTAAGGCTAGTGCCCTAAGAGAAAGGTCCTTTGATCAGGAATGACTTTATGTAAATGTTACACATTATGCTTGCTTACAATTTACCCTTCCTCCACCTATGTATCTTAGCCTTTCAAAGCCCAATACAGACTGAGCAGATGGAATGCATAAGACTTAGCAAAGGCACCAGATTTTGTCTTCATCCTGTGCTCTCTGATGAACCATTTGGGAAATACTCAACAGCCAGAGGACTCCTTCTGCGAGCTGACCCATGTCTGGTTGTGGATTACATTAAACCAGTGTAATGGAAAGTTTGCTGTACAAAATAGTGTACCAGTATAGAAGGACTTGCTTCTGGATTCCAACTGACATTTTTCATTTCTCCTTTTTTCAACTGTCACCTCACACTTTGCTCAGTTGTCATTTAATAGAATACACAGCACAAAACACCCTACAACTCTTTTTCTTAAGTTTGATCAGCAAAATCCCTCAGAATAATTTATTATGCTTGAAAATGTTATCCAATTCTAAGAAGCAGAAAAAAATCTAGAAATTTGTTGACTTCCAGTGGAACCATCAGGAAACATGGCAAGATTTTAACATCAGAATAAAGAACCGAATTTGGACACTGCTGTTGCTCTCACTGAGATTAATGGAACATAATTATTTTGAAAAAATAAGAAAGGAAAGCTACTCTGTGAGTAGAAGAAATTATATACAATACCTAATTGGAATAACAGAGATCCACACACTGCTTTCCGTGCACACAGCCCCAGCGCTAATCTCGGTTTCTACTACTTATTTTATTTATTTATTATATTTATACCCCGCCTATCTAGTCATTTCGACCACTCTAGGCGGCTACAAATCTGCGTGTACATTGCTATCTGTCCTTTCAATTACAGGTACAAGATGAGCAGTCCATCCATTCTCCCAGGATACTGATTTTTGCTTATGGCAAAACTGTAACTAGAATAGGACTGTACTTTAAAAATTGCACAGCAAAGTTTGTAAGAGGAAATAAGTGAGTATCAGAGGCATTTACTCTGTGGTGATGTATGTAGCTCAGTGGCAGGACAGGCTTCACATAAAGAAGGCCTTCAAACTCCTACTAGTCCTGAAAAGAAAATCCTGTCTCAAATGCTGAAGAGCAACTGCCCTTTAGCATTAATAGTACTAGCTTAGGCAGACCATCATTGCAGAAATCAGCTTCCCATGTTCTTTGATCCACAAGGAGATCCCATTTTAGAAAATCCTTTAAGCAAGAAGTGGGTAGCTGCACTGTTCTTCTCACCTGAAATGACAAACTTTGCTTTATTAATTTATCAGAGTGACTTTCCATTGTTAATAGAGATTCTAACTTGATGTAACCATCACTGTTATTACATTAAGAATGAACTTCAAGGTTTAGAATGCCTGCAAAATCTATGGCAATGTTTTGTAATTGTTTTGCAGCATAAATGTAATGTTTAGCAGTGCTCCTAGAGGTATAATTGAAAGATCAAACTGAAGTTCTTAGTTAGCAAACCCAAATCCAACACTGCTCCTTTCACTCAAAGCAAACTTTTTTAGTTGTTTTCTGGCACAAACCTCATATTTTGCAGAGCATTTGCAATCAGTTAAACTGTCCTACCCAGTCTGGGAGCTGATTGAATACCTAATATTGCTCATTTCATTCAGAACCTAACCCAAAGTTTTTACATTTTTTTACGTTGCACATGGTTACATATGCAACATTGTAGCCATACCATTTTATTAGCACCTGATTACTTCACTGATAAGAACTACAGGATATATGTGTGCACACCTGTATAATAAACAAAGCCTGACATTCTACTGCATTTGGTGTAGGGTAAAGTTAAACCTTAGGAGGTTTGCACTGAATACCTGATTGTGCAACTGACTGCAGAACTGGGCAAAACTGCTTGCTGAAAATGACTTCTACCTTGGCATGAATGTCACAACTGCCTATGCAACTTTGAATCATCAAGGTGTAATTTACATGCTAATCACAATATATGTTTCTCTGAATCCTATTTATTTTAATAGAATTATTCCGAGTATGTTACTAAAGCTTCAATAACACTGTGGAGGAGATCCAGTCCTCTTTCTGTGAGGAGGTCCCTTGTGGCACTACAAACATGAACAACTCAACACAAAAGGCTGTTTTTCAGTATTATTTTTTAATTCAGAAAATTTCCATGAAATTTAAGTGAAGTTCAAAAAGAAAAAAAAATGTTGAACAGTAATCAAAATCTAAGCAGTCTTCCAACTGATGGTTAAATAATCCGGTGGTCACAATGAATTCAATACACTCTAGGGCCTTGGGTGCCCTTTATTCCCAGATCGACCAGAAAGGGGCAACACACTGAATTTTTCAAAATGTGCTATTTTTCTGTTCTTGTGTCTGAACATTTGATTAAGCAATTATAGTGCAACTTTTTTTGAAAGACTGTCCTCTGATTTGTCATGTGATTTATGCATAATTGAATTGGACAATTTCAGAATGCCATCATACAAATACAAAGATTTCAGAACTGGCAATGAGAACCTTGTCCTTCTAGCTAAGTATAGGAAGGAGGCAAGGATTCCTCCTCCCTTACGTCTTTTTGTCATCACAGTAGAGAAGGGGTAAGCCACTCTGGGGTGTTTTCTTGCCAATTGTCTGCTCTGAGGACTCTCCCATGTGCCATACAGACGTTGCCAACTGTCTGAGGACTCTCCCATGTGCCATACAGACCACAAAAGTGCGGGAAAATGCTACAAAAACTGAAATGGAAAGTGGTTACACTGGAGGATTCTAGGAGCTGTAATTCACCTTTCTGTAGTGGAAGAAGAGGGGGCTGCCAAAGGGCTGAAAGCAACACGAACATTCTTGCAGTACAGCCAATGGTAAATATGACTCCATTAAGTAAAAAAAGATTAATACAGTAGCCATCAATCGGAAAGTCCATATGAATAATTTACTTGCTACTATTGTTCCGCCCATTATTGCTAACCCACACATTAAAATCACCAGCCCATGCACACAGAACATTAAGAATATGGACACACATATCATTTACAACTTTTCATTTGTGTATTATCCTGTCACTTTAAATAATTACAAACATGCCTCTAAATCTGTAAATAACAGCCACTGAGAATTGCCTATAATACAAGTTTTAATACTGCCTCTGATATATGACATTATCAAGTACTACAGCTGTGAGAAATATTGCATATTCCTCTGTATGTCACTGTCAACAAAACCACTAAAGTCAACAGGCATGTGGATGCGAGCGAACCAGTGGATATTGTCTATCTGAATTTGCAGAAGGCATTTGACATGGTCCCTCACCAAAAGCTGCTGACAAAACTCCACAGTCAGAGCAGGTCCTCTTATGGATTGAGAATTAACTGAGAATCAGGAAACAGAGTAGGTGTCAATGGGTTATTTTCACAATGGAGAGAGGTGAAGAGTGGTGTGCTCCAGGGATCTGTCCTGGGACCAGTGCTTTTCAACCTGTTTATAAATTGCCTGGAGACAAGGATAAGCAGTGAAGTGGCCGAGTTTGCAGATGACACGAAACTTTTCCGGGTGGTGAAGACCAGAAGGGATTGTGAAGAGCTCCAGAAGGACCTCTCCAAACTGGGAGAATGGGCAGCAAAATGGGCAGCAAAATGCGTTTGAGCTGTCGAAAATATAAAGTAATGCACACTGAGGCAAAAAATCAAACTTTAGTTATCAGCTAATGGGTTCTGAGCTGTCCGTGATGGATCATGAAAGAGATCTTGGTGTGCTGGTGGACAGCTCGATGAAAGTGTCAACCCAATGTGCAGCAGCAGTAAAGAAGGCCAATTCCATGCTAGGTATCATTAAAAAGGGTATAGAAAATAAAACAATCAACATTATAATGCCATTGTATAAAACGCTGGTAAGGCTGCACCTGGATTATCGCATACAGTTCTGGTCACCTCACCTTATAAAAGACATAGTGGAACTGGAAAAGGTGCAGAAGAGAGTGACTAAAACGATGGCTGGGCTGGGGCACCTCCATTATGAGGAAAGGCTACAGCATTCAGGGCTCTCTAATCGAGAAAAGGTTCTGGGGGGGACATGATTGAGACGTATAAAATTATACAAGGGATGGATGAAGTGGATAGAGGGAAGCTCCTTTCCCTCTCACACAATACCAGAACAAGGAGACATCCACTCCAATTGAGTGTTGGGGGAGTGAGAACAGACAAAAGGAAATATTTCTTGACCCAGCATGTTGTTAGTCTGTGGAACTCCTTGCCACAGAATGCGAGGATGGCATCTGGCCTAGATGCCTTTAAAAGGGGATTGGACAGATTCCTGGAGGAAAAGTCCATTGCAGGTTACAAGCCATGATGGGGGTGTATAATCTCCATGCTTAGAAGGAAGGTCCCTCCAAATGCCAGATCAGGAGACAGGCAGCTAGTTACCTCGTGTGCTCCCAGAGGCATTTGGTGGGGCTACTGTGAGTTATAGGAAGCTGGACTAGATGGGCCCTTGGCCAGATCCAGCAGGGCTCTTCTTTTGTTCTTATATGATCTATTGCCTTCAGATAAACTACACCATGTTTTCTTCACACAGGTCAACTGCACTGAAGCTCTGAATGCACACCAGACAAGGATCAATTAATATACCCACTTATTAGAAGGTACTATTATCCATACAGATTTGATTTAAATATGATTTTAAACTATTAGCATAATTTGAACAAGAGGTTGCCCATATGTAACTAAATTTCTAGCTCATCCTGTTTCCAAGATGGAGGGAAAGCAACAATTTAAGTCAATCGTACAGAACAGCAATAGAGAACTATGCTGAAAGCCGAAAACATCACTATCTCATATCTCACATGGGCTCTTAGATGCATGAAACACAAATCATAAACAGCAGCTTTTGCCCTTTCTTTTTTAAAAAAAGCTTCAATGTGCATTTTTCAGATTTGACTATTTTTACATATTAACCCATTACAACCGCATCCTTATAAAAAGTGCCATGAGCCAAGAAGTCACGGCAAATGCTACTGCAGCAGGGATTTCCATCCATAGAAATGTGTCCAGGCAGCAATGATTTGCATCATGGAAACAGCTTTATGGCGCAGAAATGAGAACACATCTATCTCACAAAGAATACACATACTTGTTTTCAGGGTTATCTTCCCCATTTCATTACATGATAACAAGGAAGATCTTTCTTTTTCCTCCACCTGAATGTTTTTAGAAAGGTATTTATTGATATCCATGTTAAAAAAAAATTGTGTAATAGTTTGCCAGCTCCTGCGCAACAATTTGTATCAAAAATATCTTCTAGGTTGAGAAATCTGACACAACATTGTCTACACCTATGCCTCCACTAGAAAGCAAATAGACAGTAGGAGAAAGAGGAAGGCTATGACAGAAATTGCCCCAACCGCATAATGAAAGAAGTAATTTCTTTAAATAAATGCACAAATGGATAAAACATAAGTGCACATGTAAGGTGAATACAATTAACATGTTGCACAGATATGCCTCTTAACACAGGCTCAAGAGTCTTCTAGGAGTTACTAACTTGTCTGTTATGAACAGTTAGAACTGCTGGATAGCTCAATGGTTTAGGTACCTAGTTGTGGAGCTGGAGAGAATGGGAGTTCAATTTCCACCCATGTCTCCTTTTAGGGTTTAGATTACATGATCCATAGGGTCCCTTCCTGCTCCGCAGTTCAAAGATAATGATGACTATAAACCTGTGTAACCCTTATCCTATTTTTTCCATTCAGTCTCAACACTAGGGTATGCATATTTACATTTGACATCTCTCCGAAAGCCTCAAAAATAGCAAAAACTCACCACTTCTTCATGGGTTGCCTTAAAGCTAGGAAATATTATAACTCATTACAGAAAATTGTCCTCTCTTCCTCAAAGATACAAGCTTTGGAGTTCTTCCTGAAGAAAGACATGCCTTTTCAAGAGACAGTTTAGCTCCTTAAAAACAAAGCGTTTAACATTTTCCACTTTGATAGAACCAACAGTTCTCTCAGGCTTGCACATAACTACTCCTCTGGTGAAATACACCAAGAGACAGTTATCCGTGTTCCAAAAATATGTTAAACATAGGAAACTGCCTCTCAAGCCCTTATTGTCAGGTCTGAGCAGCTGTTGTCCTTCCCGGTTTCAGGAAGGATTCTCTTCTAGATCTACGGACGATTTTCAGGAGAAATCCCATTCAAGAACTAACCGGGCCTGGCCCTACTTCAAGAGTCGTAAATGCAGTTCAGGCAATTGCGACAAGGCGCTCGGCTCGAGCGTCCTCCTTGTTTCTGCCACAATGACAACACGAACCCCCGGTCAATCTCCTTTTCCCCGCTTCGAGGAAAGCAACCGCACTCCCTTCTTTGGCCCTGCCAGGGTGACCTCGCCGGGCGGAAACGAAGAGCAAAGTAAGGTGGGTCCTGTGGAGAAGAGCCAGCCAGCCAGCCAGCCAGCCACCTCCCTCTTCTTCCGCATCCCTCCCTTGCTTGCTCGCTCGCTTACCCGAGGTGACGCTTCTCTTCCCGGCTCATCGCCTGCACGGCCGGGGTTGCCACCAGTACCGAAGAGGCGGAGAGGAGGCCCAAAGCCAGCAGTTTCCAGCCAGGCCAACGGCCCGCCGGGGAGTCGCCGCTCCTTCCCTCGCCCCCAGTCGCTGCTCCGCTCATGGCGGTAGCTGCCCCGCTAGGCCCGGCAGTGTCCCATCCCTTCAACAGCGCCGCAGCCGCGACAAGAAAAAGGCTTCCTCCCTTCACTCCTTCTTCCCCCTTCCCGCCCCCTCCTATCTCTGGCGTAGCCAAGGAAACAGCACTCCCACCGCTAGGCTGCTTCCGGGTTCTTTCCCGGTCAGGTGACACGAATGTTGCCTGAGAGCGAATGGAAACTCGGGACTTGTGTCACCTGATTGCCAGCTAAGCGGACCCGGATACAGTGATACGTGGAATAAGGAGACAACCTTCCTCCTCGCACCCTGCCAACCTGGACACGGCTCTTGCATCTAGAGATAAGAATACAGTAGAGGAGCAGATTCGTTATTAGGAGACGGAGCTTCCGGATTCCGTTTGGAGACGTGCTTTTTAAATGTCCCTCAGGACGCACGCCCTGTCTTCCGTAGACTTGAATCCGCGTGGTTGTGTTTTAAGTCACATTACATTTGTCAATCGGGTTATCTTGCCAAGAGTCACTATTTTCTGAATGGCCAACGTAACCGGCACCGTCCCGCTTCCTTCCCACCCACTTCCTTTCATTCGCTCCGCGCATCCCAGGAAGTCACCGCAGCCCCACGAACGGGCGCCCCTCGACCTCCCGGCCCGTCTTTACAGGGACACACGAGGAAGGCCTCCTTGTCACTTTGGCTGCAACCGACGTCCGCGGCCAGGCATAAGGGAATCGAAGGGAAAGTTTAACAGGACTCCGCTACAGCGGCAGGAGTCCATGGGGAAGAAGAACGACGAGGCATCTTGTGCCATTTGAAAGCCGCGTGGGCTATTGATGGCAGGGCACCGTTTCTCTTGGTGCCACAGACGACCCGTGGGGTGGGGTGGGGTGGTATGAGGAGCGTCCTCGCTCGGAGACAGAAAAAGAGCATCCTTCGAAGCCGAGGGTCCTCCTCCTTCCGGCCCTAGCTCTATATGCTCTTAATGGGGCAAAAAAATATATAAAAAAATAAATAAACCACCGGCCCCGAGATGCAACGCTTGAAAAGGCTTTCCTGATTCGTGTCCCGGCGGTTTCCGGAAGGCTGGCTGGCGGTCTTTCGGAAAGGCTTGGACTTGCTTTAAGAGATACTAGCCGCCTTTCGAAATTGGGTCCTCGCGGTGCTAGCACAGAAAGGAGGTTTGATCATCGATTTCCTGATCCGGGGAGTGTAACAAGTAGCAGATCTACATGGCGAAAATCATACCTGCATGGATTGCCTAAATCTTCACTCGTTGTGAACAATATTGTTACATCGAATAAGGGCTCCATTCCAATTTTTCTTGTACTCTTTAGGGGCTTTATATGTTTGGATTAGATCCTAGATCATAAAGTGTAACCCCCTTTCCCAACAGGGATCCATACTTTTTGGGAGAGATTATTTGGAGCTGCAAGTTATTTAAACCAGTAGTTTAATTATAATAATAATCTTTGAACTGCAGAGCAGATCATCGAATCCAGCCCCTCTCAAATAGGCACAGTGGGGAATTAAATTCTCAACCTCTGACTCCGTTGCCAGAGACCTAAGCCACTGAACTATCCATCAGTTCATTCTCAACCTTTCATCTTTCTCATGATCTGCTCCCAGAAGTACCACCCATCTTGCCTAATAGTCAGGGATTCTGGGAACTGAAGACCTAAAATCTGTCAGACCAAAGCTTGAGAACCAAGATCTGAAAGGAAGGACTTTGCTAGATGGCCAAATTGGATCAGGCAGAGCACCCCCCAGAAGAAGGGAATAATAAACCACTTTGGTGTATTCTGTACCTGGGAAACCCTGGAAAGGGCTACATCTCAAGCTACTGTGTTTAACCCAACCAAGATCTTCTTTTCTTTCAAGCTCATTAAACAGCTGGCTGGCTGTCCCTTTGAAGAAGGTGGTTAACATTCCTGAGAAATGGAAATCTTCTGGTCTGGCAGGAGAGAGTGAAAGTTTTGCATTTATGTTTAAGTGTTGCTAAGATATCAGTAATACAGTACTTTGATTTTTTTAAATAGCCCTGTCAAAGTATCCTTGCTGCATTGTATTAGTTAGCAGCCATTAAAAAGGAATGCAAAACTTCCACTCTTTTGGTTGTTGTGGGTTTTTCGGGCCCAAAAAACTCACAACAACCATTAGATCCTCAGCCATGAAAGCCTTTGTGAATACATTCCCCTCTCTTCCCTGCCAAAGCTGAGCTGCAAGGAAAATTTAAAGAGAAAGCTTTCCATTTCTCAAGATCATTAAGCAGGGACAGCCAGGCAGCTGCTTTGGTTTGATCCCAACAATCACATGCTTGAATTGAACCAAAATGGAGCCATGCTACCCGCACCTAAAAAACAACAGTCCTTGACAGAGACCCCAAATGATGCGGGTAGGAAAGCTCTGCGGATGGGCTGGTTTGTGCTGGCAATTACAGTATCTGGTTGTCAGCAAAAGGAGCAAACCAGCCCATCCCCAGAGCAGACCGAACAGCAGGGGCATATGCCTGTGCAGTAACCCGCTAAGTTGAGGTAGGATGTGCTTTACTGCAGAGGAAGCTCTGGTCAAAGATGTTTTCTGTCTGAGACATCCATAGGTGCCATCTGGAGTTCACAAATTTGTATCAAGTTCTGGGACTACTGTCTTAAATTGGGAGTTTTTGGAGATGCAGATGTCTGAAAAAATGATGCTAAAATATAAACCACACAATAGCAACTTTTAAAAAGTATATTGTTTTATTTATTATTATCATTATTTATTACAATTACTTATATCATGCCTTTCAAGACAAAAGTCATTCCAAGGTAACAATAATTAATAAAATCACAATAAACAATTATTTTAAAATGACCAGGATCCTTTTCATAGAGCAATTGTAATAGATGGACTATAAGAACAGAAGACAGTCCAGCTGGGGAAATGGTCACCCGTGCAAAGGGAATTGTAGCAGTGGCAGACTGCTGCTGATTAAAAGCTTCCTGTCGTGATTTTGGGGTGTAAATGACTCTCACACAACACACTTACAAAATAAATCCTAAATTAGCACGTATCTTCTGCCACCGATGACACCCTTCCCTTTGTTCAGGTGGATCCTGCCCAACGGAGTCCCAGTCTGTATGTTGTAACATAGATCTCAGTTGTCATTACATAGAATATGGTTTCTGCCAAGGGGCAAATTGAAGTAAAGGAGATGTAACTGAGTTTGGCGATAATAGTTTATGTTACTTCACTGTATTAAAACGAATACAAATTTTAATAGAAAAATAAGGACTGTCCTAATATTCATCTTGGCATGCTACAACATATCATTGTGTGTGCCACCCAGGGCATGCCCAATGCAGGTGAGTCACCAATTCATCAGGGAAAACATTAATTAGATGTATTTACTTCGGGGGGGGGGAATACTATAAAAATATGAAAAGTTGTGCTGATAAATTTTAAAATAAATGCTAGATATCTCATCAGTTTTATAACCCGCTCCCTTTTGTTCTTTAGATAGCACTGCAAAGATAGCATAGCAACTTTTCTAAAGCTAAATCCTATCAATACTTTTGGTTAAGCCAAGCGCTATATTTTAACATGAACCTTTGTTTTATTGTTATTACAGTATAATGTTTATTAACAAGATATTCTGTGATTGCACTTTTCTTTTAAAACAGCTGAAGCAGCACATCTGCCCAGACCACCAACTTAAATATTCCTAGCATTGTACTTGATGATGTCTGTCACCAGTAGATGCAACACTGACAGAATGGATTGTATCCCCCTCCAGCTCCATTTGTACCTCCCAAATCTGTGTTGGAAGACTGCAGGATTCCCCTGAACAGATGAGGGGTATGAGAGGGATATAGCAGGAAGAAAGGAAGGAAGTCCTTTTGCACAAGCAGGTGCTGGATGTTGTCCTTTGAGGTGCTACTGTAAAATCATGTTTGCAATCTGAGCAGCCAAGGACTAGTGATGAATACATTGGCCCACTCTGGGATACCCAGTACCTCTTCTGGGATTTTCAGCTCCTTTTTAAAAATGATAAATCTTTTTAGCCCTGTTACTTTCAAAAAATACAAGAGAAAAATATGTGGGTAGTACAATATTTCTACCACATTGCTCATTAGGAAGTAAATTCTGATCCTAATCCTCAACCTTCTGGCTTATAGAACTACAATGATCTGATAACTGGTAGAGCTCCTTATTGCTCTCATGACTAGAAGGATCAAAATATATTCTCTAAAGCAGGGGTCTCCAAACTTTTGAGCGTGAGGGCCACATAAATTTTCCACATTTTAGGGGGCAGAAGGAATGTGTGCGAGTGTGCATACACGCACGCACACATGCACGCACCCCCCTGCACAGATGCCCACCCGCACGGCTGCCCACATGCATCCCCATGCGTGCATGTATGGACTGAAGAGAACGGGCCAGATAAAATGGCAAGGTGAGTCGGATATGGCCCGTGGGCTGTAGTTTGGAGACTGCTGCTCTAAAGCAATGCTTATGCAATGCCCTTAATTTACAGAATGCATATGGAGGTTGCATAGTTCCCCTTTCCTTGCTGCTAAAAATGAGATGCTTCATCACTGAATCTGCAATTAACTGGGTATTTTTTTAAAAAGCACACACATAACCCTGGCTTTAAGACACCCTGGAATAGTTAAAGGTGCAGATTATTGTAAACATTTATTATTCCCTTTGGAAAAAGAAGTATGTATAAAGTACCCAGCAAAAGGTGCCTCTACCCCCTTTAAAAAGGACAAAGAAGCCTCCAACTATTCTGAAAGCTTTAAATATTGCAATAACTATAAAATGAGAAGAGGAAATCAGACCACTCCATTGTCAAAATATCTGAATGCTTTTAAATATAGAAGCTCTAATTTGACTACTAAATGTCCGAACTCCATGCACAGTTTTGCTGTACAAACTCCAGTAAGCAAACCACTTTACCCTTCACTGAAGACTTCTGTCACTTTCTTCTTAGCACGCTTCATGCAAATGTTCTTGCCCTTTAATTAGATTTGATTTAGCATTTCCTTCTAACACCAGCATTTCCTTCTATTGTTACAGCACTGTAATCCTTATGCATGTGAAGAATTATTCCTTGTAAATAGTGATGATGAACATTCTCAGTGAACTTTGTTTTCAAGGAATTCAAATATTTAAAATCTTCACTCAACTTTCCACAGACAGATTTTACCAGTCTTTACCATTTTGGTGACAACAATCAATCTTTTGTTAGCCAAACTCTGAGTGGTTGGAATGCATGAATTACAAACAGCAATAGCTAGCAGAGAAAGGAAGTTACACAAACAGTAAGCTACAGATTCCAAAAAAGGTGAGTGTTTTGAAATAGGATGTGTGAGTTTGATTAAATCTCTTCATTCTGCTTTCAAGACATCTCTGTTATAATGACCATAAGTCTAAGATTTTAGACTCCCAAGATAATCTTTATTTCTCAGACTGTGACATGGGATACATAGCCTCAGCATTTTCCCATCTGTCCGTTGCACTTTCTGTTGTACTTGCAGAATCTGAACATTCAAATGACATACTACATGCTGGCTTAGGATCGTACCCTTCACCCAGAGTGAGGGCTTCATTGTCTGTCTTCAGCAATGTCTCTAGATTTTTACACTCACTCTTTTTGGCTTCAGGAGAAACTGACAGAGCAGTTGGTTCTACGGACAGGTCTGCAATATTCAAAATAGACTCTTCTGTTATGACTGCACCACTTGAGTAGGCTGGAGCATCCATGTCTACTGGAGCAGACTCAAGAGGGGAGGACTCTGCTTCCTGAAAATCACCATCAGCAGATTTCTCTACTTGGGAACTGTCATCCATTGGGACAGAGGGAAGGGAAGAAGGCTCTTCTTTCTCCTGGTCAAGTTCTCTACTTTCGGCAGATTGTTCCACTTGCGATATCTGGTCCATGAGAGCATTATGAACAGGAGGGATACCTTCGGTCTGACCAGATTGCCTGGGTTCAGAAGGCAGGTTTGCTTGGGACTGTTCATCAGTACTGCCACTCTCCACATCAGTATACCACATGCTTGTCTTTGTCTCCAACTCTGTCTTTGAGGCTTGACAAACACCCAGTTCTTCAGGCACCTCAGAAGAATCCATGAAAGTTATGCAGCTTTCTTCCTTGGAAATCTTCACTGGATTTACACCATTTCCTTCCACACTGGAGGGAAAAGGCACCTTGGAAAGCCCCTGTGTCTCCCACATTCCACATTCCACCATGTTCATTTTGCTGTCCTTCTCTCTTTCTTCTAAACATTCCTGTGGCTTTGAAATCACAGATTCACGAAGAACATTTTCTTTGCTTTCCAATGAAACATCTAGTGGCAATTCGACTGTGAATGTCAGCAAATTCCTTATTTCATCCACACCACCAGGAACTGAACTTTTTTCCTCTTCCACTGGTACCTTAGTTTCTACCATTGTGCTTCCACCAAAACTTGTCGTTACTACATCGGGAAGCTGAGGAGCTCCCTGTTCCTCTGCATTGCTGTACGTCACAGAAGGTGGCTCCTGATTATCACTGTGATCTGAAATGATTTCTTTTTCCACTGGTGTAGCAAAAATACTAGGTGCAGCAGTAGAGGTTTCTGCATTATAGTCCACCATCTTCTGAGTTTCATGACATTCCTCCTGAGAGATTTTTTCTGGTGTGAACACGTCATTACTTTGACTGTCAGCATCTGGTACTACTGTCCCATTGGTGGCTGGCTTCCTAGCTGGGCTAGCTTGGGTTGATCCTGAAGGGGTTTTTAGGTCACTCAAGCTGGATACGCTTTCAAAAGGCAGGTTCATTTCTTCATAGAGGTTGTGTTTCTTCAAGTGTGCAGCTTCTCTTATCACTAAGCAGGAAATGGAAAAAGTTAGCAAAAGTTTAAGGCACAGGAATACAACGAACAATGGCTACAGAGAAAGAAAGACAGTAAATAATGCAGCAACACAAGACTATCATTTCACTTGTTGGGCTTCTACCCCTCCCTGGATTTTGACATTATTTATTATACATTTGGCTGAAGAAAGAAGAGAGCTTGAAAAGTTACTTCTAAAACATAATTTGTTGCCCTCACTTGTTGTAGTGTCTGAAAGATATTGTCATTGTCAATATTTAAAATGTAAGTAGCTGTATTATTTTGTTACTAATCTGTACTCTACTTTGTGAAAAACTTTTTAAATCCTTAGAAGGGATAACAAAATGCACAAAACTCAAAGTGTTCCTAAGAAAATGCCCCAAAGGCTCTTGAATTTAAGAAACTTGAAACTTACTCATTCATTGACAAAATAATCTCATTCCCACTCATGTTACTTTTGTATTTCTTTTTAACTATAACCATAAAAGTTACTCATTACAGGTAACTACATGTCATTTTCAGTTGCAGTAATGACAATTGCAGGTCAAAATAGTAAGAGAAATGGCTTTACTTAGGGAATAAGACTCTTATGGGATAATAAATAGAACTAGGTTTGAGATGTAGATTTGATGGAGAGAGGGGGAAAGGATAATATTTATGATCCTTTAACAGAACTGGGTATCTAAAGACTTCCAAAGTCCAAGGAAGTTCAAATCTCTGTGAGCTAAGGGAAGTGAATCAGAACAAAACTACTATCTCAAGATACCTACTGCCTGTTTCTTGCTTCATTACTATATTTTTATAAGCTGTTACCTTTAAGGGTTTCATCAAGCAAAGTCTGAAGTAAAATCTCTTCATAGACATTTTCAACTTGTATCACATTGGTATGCTCAGCAAAAATGTACTGCTCATACTCCTGAAGCATCTGTATAACAAGATACAAAATCATAAATTTCATTTTGTCATATCATTGCTTTATGAATAAACTAAAGCAGTCAGAGCTCTTAAAGGTGAAGGACTCTTGGTTAGAGATAGGCACAAATTTTAAAAATGAATCACCAAATTCATTCAAAAACACTAATTCATTGATTCATATTTGTACTAATCAGTACCTCTGATGCATACAATCATTTAATTTTTAGTGATTTTTTATTGATTGAGCTATAAAATGGTCCCTCAAGAACCTAGAGACACCAAAATTACAGGGAGGCTTCCCCTTACTCTCCTCTACAGTCTTTCCAAGTTTTGTGAAGATTGGTTTTCAGATATCTAAGCTATACACCCACAAAGAGCCCCAACAGGAAAGTTCACGCCAGGTGCTGAGAGACACCAAAATCACAGGAAAGCTTCTACTGACCCTCTTCAGTCTCCCCAAACCAGCTGCCAAAGGGCACTTTCTGGGACAACTTTGTGGGCGTAGAACTTGGATGTCTGAAACCCAGTCTTGAAGGCACTGTAGAGGAGAGTCAGAAGAAACTTCTCTGTGATTTTGGTGTCTCTAGGTCCCTGGGAGGAACTTTCCTGGGGGGGCACTATTTGGGGGGTATAACTCAAATGTATGAAACTCAAACCTCACCAAACTTGTAGAGGAGTGTCAGGGTAAGATTCTCTGTAATTTTGGTGTCTCTAGGAGCTTGGGGAGCCATTTATAGGGGTTTAAAGTTAAAAAAAAATTGGTGAATCAGTTCATCAGAATTTTTTTATAACTTGTTATTTGTTAACCTTGCTGAATCACACATCAAAAGGAATTATCATTTTCCCCCTGATTCACGCCCATCTCCACTCTTGATCCATCTTTGTATCAAGAGAAAATTTCATGGGAGGAGTAAACAATTTGTTAGGGACTTTGTGCAGATCTGTAACAGTAAAGCCTTCCATAGTAGTAAGAAGGGCCCTTCTGGCCATGAGCAGTGGTGAAGTAATTGCTTCAGGCAAGCAAAGCACAGGGGTGGGGGGAGAAGTGGAGACACCACCAACTTGCTGCCACTTGAGGCGTAGCCTCCCTTCATCAAAGCACTGCCTTCCCAAAGCATCCACTTCTTGGCTGGCTGTTTATAATGGCTGCTCCAAGGAGATCTTTAGGGCATGAGGGATTATGGGACAGTGGCCAAAATAATTCATCTGTGACATGACACTCCCCCCCCATGTTGCCTACAATACCTTGACCTTGAGGACCCCCTCAGAGCCAGGCATTACTCAAATAGCCTATGAGAGGTTTCCATGCTACAAAGGTAGTGGTTTAGCAAAGGAAATCTCTAGTATTTGTGCCTTTGGCCTCTCCCTCTTCTCCCTCTTCCTTTTGTGTGATTGCTGTGAGATGGGGTGGGTTGGGAGCCTAGGGAATGCCTGCAACACCTGGGCAGCAGTTCTAAGCAGAGATTGCACAGTTCGGACAGCAAGGAGCCAAAGGAGCATTATGCTTGGCATGAAAAGTAAGAAAATAAGAAGAAAGAAGACAACATTCAGGGAATGAAAGGAAGATAAGGAGGGGCCACACAAAGCTGTAGGAATCAACGAGGAAACTCAAAATCAAGATGATCTTAAAATATGACTTCTATGGGTTGTCATATCAAGAACCCCATTGATATTTACAGGCTCTAAGCACAATGAAATCTAGTCTCAAATGGTTGTTTCCTTGTCTGGACATCTACACCAGTCATTTTTCTATTTTAATAGTCTTTAAAATACACAGAATGGTGCCATTAATTTTTATAGCTTCCATTTATGTATCTTATAATTACATACTTTAGTGTAGATACTTACTGGTTTACAAGTGGAGGCCAGTGTTCGTTGCATTGTAGGCAAAGAGATTTGGACCAAGGCATCCTGAAATATCTTCTTCCGGACCGTACTGCTGTCATAATCGTATTGCTGTTGTTTATTTAAAAGATAATTAGCTGTGAGATCCTGAAGTGCTGGCATTTACCCTCCTGCCTTCCTACACCAACACAAAGTAATCCCACCAAAATCAGTGCACAGAAGCAGTAATTGTTTCTGTCCCCTGTGAAACCTGAATAGGACTGGCTGCTTTACAGCATATGTACCAGAAATATATGAGCATCAGACCTATGCTTCCTTTTATATTTATGTCTGGTTGCAACTAGACATTTAGCTTTTCTGGTGCAGACCTTACCATTAGGCAGAGTGATGCAACTGCTTCAGGCACTAGATCTGGGGTTTCATGAAAGGAAAGTATGTGGTTAGCTATTTAATTTGATGTTTTTATATTTTTACTATCTAAGGAGGGAGAGGTTGTGAGAATTTCTTATGCCTTGTTGGGAGCATATATTTTCAAACAGAATTTCAGTATGCGAAAGAGAGCATACACTTTCATTGGATTTTATAACAGATACCCTAATCCTAAAGCTTCACTGTACAGAAGTGTGGGGAAGCATACCTTTAAGACACGAAGTTTGACTTTTTCAATAGCTGTTACCATTTTGGCTGTATCTCGGGGATGACTTAAGCCCAGCAACTGTTCAAAAGTATACACTGCATTTTCCAGGAGCTACAAATATATTGAAAAACAAATGACATATTTATTGATCTGCAGTGGTCCAGATGACACCCATCAGTCAATATCTTATATACTAATTAAGATTCATAAAGATTTATTTATGCCCTTTTATGATGATCGTTCGTTCGTTTAGTCGTTCAGTCGTGTCCGACTCTTCGTGACCCCATGGACCAGAGCACACCAGGTCCTCCTATCTTCCACTGCCTCCCGGAGTTGTGTCAAATTCATGTTGGTTGCTTCGATGACACTGTCCAACCATCTAATCCTCTGTCGTCCCCTTCTCCTCTTGCCTTCACACTTTCCCAACATCGGGGTCTTTCCCAAGGAGTCTTCTCTTCTCATGAGATGGCCAATACTGTTACTTTTATATTCTTGAGGCGGCCCTCCCTCCCTATCTTTGCAGCTGATTCAGGCATATACACCATGCCTTAAATAAGCCATAGTACTATATCTCTTGTATAAAGTTTTGTAGCGAGAGGATGGGGTCGTATCTGGTCACTCTAGGCCTGATCAGACACAGGAAGGAAGCAGTGCACATTACCAGTCCTTGCAGCTGGCATGCAACATGAAGCCTTCAGGCTGGTTAAGTCTGGTATGGATATTAATTGCCCAGCTATTCTTCCTTTTCCTAGCCAGCACCCCTCACTTCCTGCTTTAGAGATTGAACCTGACTTGGCAAACATACATACACAATTGGATTCTGATGTGGCTGCTCACATGACTGGCCTTACCCATGCTGGCTAAGCAGTTCTCTAGATAGCCTTTAGCCATTTGGTGAATGCAACAAATGCAACTTTTGTTCCAAAGCATATCAACCAGCAATCTATATGTATGTCAAAGCACTCACTCACAAGATGCACTTCTTCTGAGATGAAAACTGAATGGATAGTTAAAGCATAAGTGTGAAAATACTATACCTCCTGCATTAAATTTTGGGTCTTCTGAATAATCAAGTCAATGTCATGGAATCTGAAGCGGCTCTTGAGGTCCTGGAGCTGCTCTTGAAGGAGGTTGACTTTCAGATAGCAAGGTTCCATTTTTACTGAGTTGTATGGAAGACTCATCAGGCAGTTTACATTCTGTGAGAAAGACAGTTTTGCAAGGAAGTAGACTTTTAGCAGTGATGCTGATGCAACGATTTGTTTTAAATGACAACGTTGTGTAATCAGATGAAGTGAAGTGTTAAATTGAGGGCGTGAGAGCAATGGAAAACGGGTGGCCAAGAAAAACCTGACAGCCAGTGGAAGAAAAGGGAGAGACTGTTGGGTTCTTTGAAGAGAGCAGCTTTGTTACATGGCTGTTCCATTATTAAATTAGCCTAGAGGAAACTGGCTTCCTGGCCTTTACAGTGCAGACATAGACTGAGGAGTTGTGTGCTAAAGCAGTCTTAGAGTGTCTCAGAATTGCCATTAGAGGGTAGATGACCAAGGTAAGCTGCAACCTTTTGTATGATAATTTATTTACATAAATGTGTTGCTTCTTACTATTTTAATAAAAAGCCATTAGTTGATGACAGACAGAATTTGCTTCTTATGAAATATGTTTTCATTAGCTTTATTGTGCTCTTTTAGCTCTGGACAGGAAGCCGTGCCTCCTTAGCATATTCACCCTTCAAGCTGACCCCATCAGAGAGTCTGCTGTTGCTTCTAGTATCCAGAGCAGAACTGAGATCAAGAGATAGTCACAAGCTACAGGCCATGTCATGAGTCCTCAAACAAGCATGGAAATTGGACACTGACCCCATTTACACACTAACAAGTTCCACAGGTGTGTTGATTGCAGTGGAGACCACTCCCATAAATGGTTAATTGAACATCACTCTTACCTCTTTCAGCTTTGTGGTATCACTTGTTGCTTGAAAGCTTTGGCTGATTCCATTGACCTCTTTTTCAAAGAGAAGATGGACTTCACTGAAGCCAGAACTCACTGGGCCCATGAGTTCCTCCAGTATGGAAGGCAGAAAGGGCTGAATGTTCTCACCACAGCATTTCTGGATAGGTTCAGATACAGTTCCTAAAGATTTAAGCCGATCATGAGAACTTACTTCAAAATCTTTAAACTAATATTTGAATATCATGGCAGGGCACGAGTGTCAAGTCTATAAATCCAGAAGTTCCTTCTTTTTTCTAACATATATTGATCTAATAGCATTTTCTATATGAATCATTGAAAAAGCAAATTGGCTGGGACAAATGTTCTGTATTAGAACACCTAGGCACTTTCTATTCCAACTTCTGGTCAAGATGTATGATTTCTGAAGTGTGTACATGGGTTGGTTGTTTTACTTACATACTCAAAATAAATATTGTCTTGACATCCTGCTCTTCTATACTCCCTCTTTCGACCTGGTACATATGCACACATACATGATTGGTGGTGGCAATGCAATTCATAGTTCTTTGTATATACCAGGAAAAAAGTGAGCTAGACACTTTTCACTGTGAAGCACAAAAATGGGTCTACCTTTTTTTGCAGCTTGCAAAGAGAAATAAAATTGCTTGGATTTAATCAATACAGTAATTGTATTGATTAAATCCTTTATCTGAATAATTTCATAATTATTCAGATAAAGGAAAAGACCAATAAAGCTTTACAAAACAACTTTAAAAGCCATACATTCCTGTAGTTAAAGATGGAGCTACCCCTGGTTTGTGCAAATTTTTGGAAATCTGAACACAAGATATAACCCAGAAGGTAAATATCTGAGTTGCCAACTGACCTTATTAGTGACCATCCTATGGTGCTTAGTGGCAGTTTTACAGATGGGGGGTTAATAGGTGAAGCTGCTTTTTTACACTGTCTTTCCATGGCAGGGAAAACTACAGGTTACCCACCTGTAATTGTAGTTCTTCGAGTGGACCTCTGTGATTCACACCCTGGGTGATTCGCGCCTGTACGGAGCCTCATTGGAAGATTCTGTAGCTTCTACGATAGCAATAAACACATTAGAATATGCCCCTCCCACCCGTATAAGTACCTTGGCGCCAAGCGTCCTCTTTCAGTTATGTCAACCACCGCTTAATAGTACGTGAACAATGGCTTGACAGATGGGAGGTTGGGTGGGATGTGTGAGTCACAGAGGTCCACTCAAAGAACTACAATTACAAGTGGGTAACCTGTTGTTCTTCTTCATGGCCTCTGTAAATCACACCCTGGGTAACTAATACGCTGTCTTACCTGGAGGCAGGGTGTCACACCAAAGTAGAGGCTAGAACAGCACATCCAAATGCCGCATCAGACTTCTGCCAGAGGTTGAGTCTATAATGATGGATAAACGTGGACGGGTGTGCCCAAGTGGCAGAGGCGCAGATGTCTGGAAGAGGTACGCCACTGCCCTGGTGGAGTGAGGGCGGACCACTCTAGGGGCTGGTTATCAAGCAAGTTGATAGGACTTGGGAGTTGTTCTGTGTGAGAAGGTTTGGCAGGCAGGGGAGATGGTGGATGTCTGATGAGAGACTGTGCAGAACTGGAAACCAAGTCTGTCTCAGCCACCAAGGGGCTATAATGATGACATTGGTTTTGTCTTCTTATAGAAAACAACTTTGTGGAGGAGAGGGAATGGTGGGAAAGGGTAGTTAAGAGTCTTGGGCCAACGGCCAACAAACACGTCTCCCTGGGAATGTTTTCCTTTTCCTGCTCGGGAGCGATAAAGTTGGCATTTCCAATTTATTCAGGAGGCAAAGAGATCGAGAGTCAGTGTGTCCCATTTCCGGCATAGTTGGTGGAATACTGATTGAACTAGTTCCCACTCGTGAGCTTGGGCATCTGTACGGCTGAGCGAGTCTGCTAGGTCATTGTCTTGACCAGCAATGTGTAAGGCTGTGAGACAGATGTGATGTTACAGACACCACTCCCAGAGGTCGACTCCTAAGTAGAGGAGACCTGAGGAGTGGGTGCTGCCTTGTTTTAGAATGTTGTACATCGGTGTGGTGTTGTCGGTGGCGATCTGTACCATTTTTTGCAGGCCTTTATGACGGCTAGTAGCTCCAACTTTTTTATGTGGAGCAGTTTTTCTCTGTGAGACCATTTGGCGTGGACTGTGAGGGATTTGCAATGAGCCCCCCAGGCAATGTGACTGGCATCAGTAGTGACTTGTATTCGCAAGCGAGGTTGTTGGAACGTTTACCCAATAGAAAGGTTGGTATGGGAATGCCACCATTGAAGTTGAGAGGCCAGTTCTGGAGTGACTCTTAGGAGAGTGTGGGGAGAGTCTGTTAGTGGATTGAATAGGGCCAGAAACCAGGATTGGAGAGATCTCATTGGATGCACATGCTGTACAACTGACATCATAGAAGCCATGGTGCCTAGAACTTGTTGCACCATTAAGGCATGTATCAAGGCATGCGGAGTGAAGCCATGAAGTAATGGTGAGGAGATTTTGTCTCTTTTCTGCAGGAAGGAATGCACGAGTCTATGAGCGTGCCTATGTAATGTATAGTCCTTGTGGGTTTTAATTTTGATTTCTGTTCACTGATAGTTAGACCGAGATCGCAAAGAAGGGCGAGGGGAAACGGGTGTCTTGTTCAGCTTTGCAATAGGAGTGTGGTACAAGGAGCTAGTCATTAATATATGGAAAGACGAGAATGTTTTGAAGTTTGAGGTAGGTGGCTACCAGCACCATGCACTTGGTGAGTACTCTCGGCACTGTTGCAAGGCCAAATGGGAGTCTTTTGTCTCGGCACTGTTGCAAGGCCAAATCGGAGTCTTTTGAATAGGTATGCTTACGATCCAAGTTGGAAAAGAAGGAATTTTCTGTGTGTGGGATGTATTGCAATATGAAATATGATTTAATAATCTTAAATCTAGAATAGGGCATAGTCCCCCATCTTTCTTGGGGGATTGAAATAGCGAGAAAAAAAAACTGGTGTTGTTTTGATAGATGGGTTGTTTGAAAAGTAACTTTGTTATTTCTTCTTGCAGGGGTTGTGACGGAGGAGTAACAATGTGTGTTGTCGGAGAAAGTTCAAAGAAGTGGATGGAGAGTACCCAGGAATCTGTGGTGATTGATTCCCATGCAGGTAAGTGTTTCCAGAGGGCAGGGTTGGTGGGGTGGGTTTTGGCTCTTTTTGAAGCATAGATTGTAAGAGGTTTGTCGTGGAGGGTCTCACTGGAACCTCTGGTATGAGTTATAGGGTCGTTTCCGTTGATTTTGCTGAGGACTTTGCTGGTAGGAAGGGTAAACTCCCCAACATCTGGTTGCTGAACATTTCTTTTGTACGTTCTCTAGTATATCGTCAGTTTCAGCATGAAAAAGACCCCCATCGAAGGGGAGGTCTTCTGAGCATCTTTGGCTAAGTCTGACATTCTGAGCCAGGAAAAATGGCGTAGGGCTACTGAAGTGGCCATAGACTTGGCTGTAGCATCTACAGTGTGGCGGGCGGAAAGCATCTGCTGTTTAGCAACGGAGAGACCTTCTTGTTGGAAGGTTTGAGCTAATATCTTTTTATCCTCTGGCAGGGATTCAATAAAGGTGGACATGTTGTCCCAGAGGAAGCGTTGGTAAGCTCCCATGACTCCTTGATAATTAGCGACTCATATGGTGAAGGCTGCGGAAGAGTAAAGCCATCTACCCATGGAGTCTATTTCTCAGCTGTCTTTATTTGGTGGTATGAGAGATTGTCGGTGTAGAGATCTCAACTGAGAGGCTTCGACAAGTATAGAATTTGGAGCTGGTTGTTTTTGGAGGAAAATGGCTCCTGGGTCATGGATTCTATAGAGGTTATCAATTTGTTTAGACATGGTATGGGAGGAAGCTGGTTTTGTCCAGGATCTCTGTGCAGTACTAAGGAGAGATGGCAACATCGATATGTGTATCGTAGTGGTTGTATTTTTAGAGACCGAATCATATAGATGATCAGCTGGTTCTGTCGATGGTCAGTGGATTTGCAGATCAAGGGATTTAGCCATACGAATCGTAAGTTGGGCATAGGTCTGAAAATCCTCTGCCGGTGACAACAGATAGGTATCGACAATGTCCGACTCTGGAGAGGTAAGTAATACTGATGGAGTCTGCAGCCAAGATCCATGGTCAGAGCCATCAAGGTCACGTCTGGAGTCAACGGACTGTTGATCCACTTCGGTGTCGAGAGGCTGAGTTTCGTACTATTGCCGGTTATGAGTCCAAAAAGATGGAGGTGGCATGTCCATGGACATCTGTCGATGTCGAGGATCTTTGACATCGAAAGATGGTGGTTGAGCATCGACGGACTTCGATTGGTAGGGATGGACCTCGGTGTCAAGCTCGATGTCGTAACAGTGCCGGGGTCGATGACTTGGATTTACCCTTACGAACTTTTCAACTTATGAACATCTTCTGGGACGGATTAAGTTTGTAAGTCGAGGCACCACTGTATCAGAGCCTGTATCTCTGGAATGTCAAAATGGAGGTTGCTGATGCGATGGCATACCAATAGAATAAATTGATGCTGGTGATGCCAAGCGTGAAGAGTGATTTCCATCATCTATTGTAGTAGGAAAGTATCGAGAGGCTGGGGCTGCAAAAGCCTCACATGTGGATGAAATCTGCTCTACCGTCTGAAGTTTTTTCAATACCAAGTCGGAAGCAGGTTGAGGTATAGCCACCGCTCGGTGATGTGGCCACTTCGACAGCAATGGTTGTCAAGAGGTAGGCTGACTACTAGATGGTATTATTGAACTGGGTAAAACACCTGGTCAACTAGTCGGTGCAGTTCGTCGAGCGGAACACTGGTCAGGGCAAATGGCAACCCGATGCACGTGCTGAGCATGGGTTTGAACCCACACTCAGTGAAGCGAACTGTTGAGATTGTTGATGTCGACAGTCCTGGTTAGGGATCGGTGGGCAATCCAAGGCCATTGAATATGGAATGGTGTCGAGCCATTCGGGATGGGAATCCTTGGGCAATGGAATAACCGAAGGATTGCTGGAAGGAATGGAAGGTTGTGGACTGGGAAAAGAGGATGTTAGTCGGTCGACTCTATCATCCCATTCTGGAGACTGAGAACAGAGTTGATGGGATGGAAGTATGTCATCATCTGAGGGAGATCTGACCGAAATTGACTCAGAGAGTTATTGTGGTTGTGGTGGGATGTCTGTAGGCTTAGACTGTTTAGCTCGTTTAGGAGGAACAGGCTGCGGAGCTGGAGCAGCTTCAGTAGGTCTCTGATGTTTAGAAGTTGCTTTCAAAGTAAAAAAACTTTGATATCGAGGGTTTCAATTTGTGTGTCTTCGAAGTCTTAAACGATGCAGGTGGAGAACTGGAATGAGCTGGTGTAGCCGATGGACGTTGTTTCAATGATTCGGTAATGGCTTTTTCCATTGCTTTGGTTTGGGAAGTGGCCCTACATGGAGGTTGGGCCATTTGAACTGGTTGTAAGGATTGTTCCCAAAGTCGGAATTTTAACCTTGAGAGGCAAGATTGAAGAACTCTGTGCTTAAAATTTTTGCAATGGGTACAGGAGGAAGTTTGATGTTGTTCACCCAAGCAGAAAAGGCACTTAGAGTGTCTGTTGGAAAGTGGGATCTTATTATCACAGACAACGCAGTGCTTAAACGGGCCCAAAGGGGCCATGAATAAGAGAAAATAATTGAGGAGAAAAACCGATGATTGGAGGGGTGTGCGCTGTGGCCAGAGGCCGAGCGGGGGAAAGGAAAAAAATTTCTGATGACAATGAGTTTGATCTAATAGTTTAAAAGGAAAAAAAATGATAACAAGAAGGAATAAAGAATAAATTTTCTCTTTTACTCACAGAAGCAGAATTTGAGGCTCTAAATGCGTCGGTTGAAAGAAACTGAAAGGGGATGTTTGGCGCCAAGGTACTTATGTGGGTGGGGAGGGACATGTTCTAATGTGTTTATTGCTACCGCAGAAGCTCTAGAATCTTCCGATGAGGCTCCATGCAGGCGTGAATCACCCAGGGTATGATTCACAGAGGCCACAAAGAACTTAGCTCACAAATCTTTGCTAGTGAAATGTTCAGTACTAAGAAACAATGAAGATTTAATATTCAATTTACCTTTTATTTTCCCAGCTAAAAAGTTCTTAGAGGTCACAATTTGATCCATATTTGAACGAATGGTTCCTTCAAGCCCCACGGTAACTTCTTTGCATTCCTCCTTCAGGGCATGCAGTCCATCTGAAACCTGCTCTTGAACTAAATTGTAAGTTTCTTCTATTATCTAGAACAAAAGAAAGTGTAGATGGAGTCAATGGTAAACCAGCTACTTCATGAACTAGCAATGCAATCTGTTCAAAGATAGCCTTCCTGGGATGTAAAAATAGGACTTTCAATGAAGGCTCCCAGGAGAGATACCCTAGCTTTTTCATTGTAGTTGCCAGTCTGAGTGACAATTTCATTGGCCAAATGGCATTTCGACCCACCATTGTATTTTGTTTCATGACCCTGAAAACCTGAAGCACTGTGAGGTTGGTGCCCATGTATTTACGCAAATGGTCTATCACCAGGTCATAAAAAAGTTCATTATCCGGAGGAAGGGAGGGAGTGGAAGTGAGGCATGCTTTGCTGTTTGCTTACACCTGTGCTGGTGGTGATTTCTTCATCATAGCTCTTATTGACTACCCAGCAACAATCTGTTTATTCATCTCTTTCAGTGCAATAACAATTCATTATAAGTGTTAAAACTTGAGATGGTACTGTAATTCCCACTCATTGTGTGTCATCCTGCTGTAGAAGTCTGCTTCATGATTCTCCACTTCTGGTACATGTATGACTTGTGAAATGACATGCTTGAGAATACACCAGTCCCAAAACTGTACTGTTAGTAGCAAGAAAGACATGAATTTTGTTCCTCCTTGGTGGTTGATATAAAGCATTGTAGTGTTGTTGTCTGTGGCTATTGGAATAACTTTGCCAACTACAAATTGTTCAAATGCTCTCACTGTGTTGTACATTGCAAGAAGTTTGAGGTAATTGATGTGACAACATCTATCTATTGCTACTGCCTTATGAATTTGCCAGAATATTTTTTTCCGGTTTTCCTCTCCTAAAAATGAGGTGCGTCTTATTTGGAGGTGCGTCTTATGGAGTGAAAAATACGGTATTTGAGAATAGTGCTAGATCACTCTATCACCAGGTCATCATTATCATTTCCTGTATTTACATGCCCATCAGTTGCCTGCCAAATTGACAGAGGTAGAATCATAGGAAAGAAGGCAGGCTATGGGCTGGAATGTGATTTGCATTGCATCCAGTATGACCAGTGAACCCCTGAATTAATCTGCAGCCCCTGTGTGAGCACTGGCTGAGATTTCAAATATAATACAGGCTGCAAAACATATTGAAGCAAAGCCAAATTTGAGCATAGCACAGTGTAGTCACACCCTTAGTTGAGTCTGAAGCTGGTTTGAATATATTTAGTGTTAAAGAGGGAAGGTAGCATCTGCAGCATCTGTTTCAAAATTACTGTAGTATTGGCTGATAACACACCTGCTGACTTCTTGGGGTGGATTAAACTGTCATTTCCCCTTTCTTTTTGTTTCTCATTCTCTCACCTTCAATTCATTCCCTTCTAAATTCACCTCAGTTTCAGGTTATTATTTTTCATTCACACAGAAATGTGGACAGAATTTCAAATTTCTTCTAATATACACATTTATGAAATTACATTAGCAAGAACCTCTCCTATACAATGCATTTTTATGTGCTTTTTAGTAATATATCACTTTTGTGCACTTTTTTGCCAAGGATATACATTTTAGGCACAATTTCCCCCTGCTGTGTATATTTTTCTATGCAAGTTTTGTTGGGAGAACTGCATCACAAAATCCATGCAAGTGATAACTATATTCTCTTCATATATTGATCCAAGAACAGTAAATTTATTAAGTCTAGATCAAATGCAAACTAAACCCAATTCTTCATCGCCACCATTGCCCTCTGTTCCACCTGTATATTCATAAACCAACAGGGTTTTTAAAAGATACCTTTGATTTCTAAACCACTCATTCAGTAAAAGTTTGTTCTGAAATTTATGACTGCTCTCAAAATTAGGGGTCTGAAAACAATACTTACACCAAACCATGCCCTTTTTCGGTCATTTCTCTTCCCTTTCAGTTTAGGAAGCAACATGCTCTGAAGGCTAGGTAGAAGCTCCTCCATCACAAGGTTACTGAGAATCTAGAAAAACACAAAATAAAACAATCATGTATCTGAACGGTATTATATAGACATTAACAACGCAGCCTAATCAATTGACACACACTAGTGGTTTCAAACAGTATGGCAGGAGGAATCCTATTTCTTTCCAAGAGGTCTTCAGGGAGATGAATAAGCACTTATACCTTTTCCTGAACAACAATGTTGTAGCATCCCTTGTTCTGCACAGCAATGGGGGTTTAGAACAACAATGGGGAGTCCCCAATATCCTGGACAGTGCACTACTTGAATTCCACACACTTGCTCAAAAACACTTACTACAATCCTCAACAATATAAAGCCAGACTTTTGAGTGTCTCGATGAAGCATTAATTGTACTAAAACTAAGGCAACAAGTCTAAAAAATTACTGTTTCATTATCTCACCTGCAAATTTCTACAAATAACTCTGGGATAAATCCAACATTATTCTTCCCTAGAGTAGGCTTGTTGACAACAAAGGGACTTAAATTAGTGGTAATTCCATTCATTTCAGTGGTTCCACCCTTGAAATTTAGCCCTATGAAACATCACCCGTGAAAAAGAGGGAATAGTTTTGATCCTATCAAGGCTTTATTTCAAAGATGAAAACTAAGAACTGCACATTGATATGGTAAAAACATGGCATACAGTTTGAATATCTATATGGCTATTTATGAGGTTTCCAAGAAAACATCATGAAATATTTATATGCTGAATCATTGCACACTGTTCTCATAGGCTAGAAAACTGCCTTAAAAATACCTGGTTAAAGTCCGTAAGAGTACACATTATACCCACAGCATCATATACCAGGCACAGCATGAATTGTTACTATGGAGATAATAATGTAATTCATCAAAGCTCTATTACAATAACTCTCAAGGGAGGCCATGAGTAACTCCCAATGTCTGCCAAGTGAGCTAATGAGATGCTATAGAATTTATTCAAGCAAGCTGTAACCATGTGTAAGTTTCAAGCAGTATTTTTAACTGTAATCCCCCAAGGTACATCACAATTTCCATATGATATCATGTTTTAGGGCTACATCCCTTAGCTAAAAAATATAGAAGTTGGATATGAATCTGGCATTCACATTGTTAAAGAAACTAAATTTTTATCAATTTGATTAAATGTACACTTATGTATGGTGTCAAGCTATCTGCCCCTCCATGTAATTGTCCTTGCATTCTAAGATTTATTTTTTTTATTTTTATATTTATTTATTTTTGGACTTATATACCGCCCCATAGTGCTACAAGCACTCTCCAGGCGGTTTACAATTTTTAATTATACAGGCTACACATTGCCCCCCAGCAAGCTGGGTACTCATTTTACCGACCTCGGAAGGATGGAAGGCTGAGTCAACCTTGAGCCGGCTACCTGGGATTTGAACCCAGGTCATGATTTGTATCATTAGCGGTAATTACAGCTGTAATAGCAGTCACATAGCACATTTCAAGTGCCTGAAATGCTCCATAAGAACAATTATGGTACCTTAATAATCCATATTGCAAAGTAGTACAAACACAAGGCTGCACTTAAACCCACATCACATTTAACATTTTTGAATGTGTAAGTCAGTTCTTATAAGAAATCTTATAAGAAAGAAACATATTAGTAACACACCGTTCTTAAAATGTCAAGTAGTGATCAACACAACAGTTTTTCAAAAGTAAAGACTAGTACTAACGTGTTACATTTAAAAAATAACATTCCAAGCCGTGTGGAAATTAATATTGAAACATGTCAAAGTATAGGAGCCAGACTTAAATTTACTGTGTTTAATTCTACTGAAATGAGTGGCACAAGTAACACACATCCAATTCATTTCAACAATACAAAGTCTTTGGTGTATGGCTTACCATAATAATTCAACAAATATGCCAAATTTCCACTGGGCTTTCTATTCCCAAACTTTCTGTACATTATGTCATTTATGCCTCTACAGCTATCTTAAGGCTTGATCACATCGGGCAAAAGAACCCCAGTTACACCAATTTGGCTAGTTTTTAGATTGTTCATAAATTTCTGAGCACACAACATACAGCCAAGATATAGACTCATTTTCTCAGCCAGCAGTTTATTTGTAGTTTATTTCCCCCTTGCCAAGAGGATGGTTTTAAATTGTACCAATGATGTATCAATTCATTCTTACCAGTAAAGCATGTGTACACATTCCTATAAATTCTTTTCCCATCCTTGGTCCCCAGGGAAGGTGGCCATCATGATTTCCATGCGGCTGCCAGCGATTAATTTTTTTTAAAAAAATTCTTGCAGCCAGTATATCAATAAACCAAGGTATAAAGCTTTACACGGACAATCTCAGTGTGGATTGACTTCTATGTACCATTTGTCTTGTTTACTGCTTGATGCCTCAGCTTACTGTCTGCAAAGAGGCATCTCTGTACAGGAGGAAGCCGGGATGATGGTGGGCAATGCATTACTTCCAGAGTCGCAGACACCACAGATCAAATGTTCCCAAAATGTAATCCCTTTCCACCATATCAATGTATCAGTTTTTTAAAAAATAGGAGTAGAAGTAGTACTGCCCCAGGAAACACCAGAGAAAATAGATTCCATGGTGTATCGTGCATTTCAAATAAGAAGAAATGAGTCAATATTGTTAAAACCAATGGAATGTTTCCACCAGTAAGTATATATACCATATGATCATGAAAATAAATGTATCGGTACAACAGAGGTGCGGAAATAATTGGTAACTGGGGTTCTTTCAGCAGGTATGGTTAGGCCCTTAGCTAAGTAAAAAACCCAGCCAAAATAAGGATAGTACCTGAATTTCATTTCCAGTTATCATTTCCCACGAACCATAGTGACCTTTCTCTTGACGGAAAAACTGGACAGCTTCTAAAAAGGCTTCTGCTTCAAAGGAGTACTGCTTGAAAAAATCTGAAGGAAACAATAAATAGGCATTGCTGATTATAAGAAATACTGCTTTTTTCCCCTCATTCTCATGATGCCCAGAGTAGACCATTGGTCTAGATGGGCAGGGTATAAATCTAATAAAATAAATAAATAAAATAAATTATACTATCTGTGATCAGTCTCAGACCAAAAAAGCTAATTTGCAAACTATTAGAAATATGAAGAGTTCATACTATTACAGGTGTCTTTCAGCACTTAAGAAATTCTCTCTCCTAATAATATGCCATTTATGCCAGTGCAGGCTGATGCTCAGAAGGGATTTTTAATGCTTAGTCAGTCAGCCTTAATTCAGTCATGACACAAGGAGTTCAGGGTAAGTCTTCTATTCATCCCGGGAACAAAACCACTATATTTTCCTTTTAACCTGGCTTTGAACCTGCATGAATTCACTGCCTGTTTCTGCTTCCAGGCAGAAGAAGTCAATAACTACCCTCGGGACAAGCCAACCACCTTGCCCACTTTTTGTTTAAGGGATTCACCATGGGACAGGCCCTGCGTCATGCGGCTGCCAAATGTGCCCAAGGTTCATCTGGCTCTCAAAAATCTACATAGCTCATATTTAGCACTTTCCCTTGCTAGTGCTGCAGCCTAACTCATGTTTTGTTCCTCGTTTTTGCTTGAACCACTTCACCATCTACTGTAATATGAACAGACAGATCCATTGCTATATACTTGGAACTAGAAACTCGCACCTGAAAACACATTGCTACGTTTTGCCCATATTCTATGGAGGAGCAATGTCCTTCAGTAAGGCAACAGGGTACTTAAGGTTATGGACTCTCTCTCTCTCTCTCTCTCTCTCTCTCTCTGGGTTTGTTGGAAAAGCAGGCCCAGGACATAATGCTGAGGAAATATCTTGGAGCAGAGTGTGTGATGAATTGAGTGTGACTTAGAAATTAAATAAACTTGCTCTAACTACACAGCCAGTTACACAGCAGATAAAATGATACTGGGTACATTAAGTCGTAAGACACATCGGCTGTACTCCTGCTACACCACATGGGAGCATAACGAGACCAACGTTGATAATGGTAATTTTAAAGGAAGTTTCTACACTTATCAGAAACCTCAGCAAAAATGAACTGCAAAATCCACTCATGCTGGTGTTTACTGATTCCTCTTTTCAAGGGAACCACTGTAGGCAGAGGAGGACATAAACTGCCTGAAATGTAATTATGTCCTACTCTGGCAGCAATACTGTAGTTAGTTATTCAGGGTATCTCCCTATTGTCCAATAAAAAAAGAAAACAGCTGTCTGATCCTTTTACCTACATCTGAAAACAAGAGTGAGGGATACTTCTATTAGACTAATAATAAAGGCATCTGTCAGTAGCAGCGTCTAGCAGAGGGGGCAACGAAGAGACAGCACCTTCCCTTGCAACACTCATTCTGTTCTCTCCTATCAAGAAGCACAGCCAATACCCCAGCACCAAAGGCTTGCCCCCCAAGGAGGTGTTGAACACAACTGGGCTAATCCATGGTTGCTGGTCCAAAGGAGAGATGGAAAACATGTGGGTTTTGGATTACAAATCCTGGGCTAATCCATGGTTGCTGGTCCAAAGGAGAGATGGAAAACATGTGGGTTTTGGATTACAAATCCTGAATCCCCTTTTTGGATTATAACTTTTTGGAATTTAAGTCCAGCCTCCCCCCCCCCAATGTTTCCCATCTGTCTGGTCCAAAGCTAGATAGGATAGAGCCTGAGACTCCCCTGCTAGCAACACCATTCGCAAACTGAAAAAGGTAACTTCAGCTGACCATCTAAGCAAGTACAAAACTGAAATCTCATTTCTAAGCAGTATGATATGGTCCCACTTTGTACAGCAATCTCTGGGTTTTTTGACATTGCAAACAAGAAGTACAAGATTACAGTGGAGATAGGGCTTTTCTCACATCCATTTGTTTTCATATAGAAGGACAGAACTGGATCTTGGAAACTCTGTTCTATTGGACTCTAGCAACCAGAATCATCCAGAAACCTCCAGCTCAAAAAAAGTAACTTTCCCAAGCCCAAGATGGAATTAAACCTTCCCTTGCTTCTAATATTTGACCGTATGAGGTTAGAGAAGTGGTACATAATAATGTGTACAGAATTTGTAAGGAAACCATTGGGCTGCTGGTCCCTCCTAAATATATATTTAGGAGCCGGCACACTATTTTTAATAGTGCAAAGGCACTCCTGACTACTGGTGAAACCTGGGCATCCAAGCTTAGAGACAAATCCAGGAGCACCCCCAAGGTGTGGAGTGGATCGAATGTGTTTGGAGAGGGAGCGTAACCCCATCCAGTACAGGTTGCATCCCTGTTCCTTGTTCTGCCTTTCAACGGACCACAGATCCTGATCTAGAGCTGAAAACAGACTCCTCCTTTTACCGTTGTTGCCATTTGTTATGGGTTTTTTTATGTTGATGAGTCTCCTTGAGGGGTCTATGTGGATTCAAAAGCCAGAATACATTAATAATAACTAAATATTCTATTAATTGTGAGCCCCAGTTAACTCATTAAGCCAACCATTCTTTCCAAAATGTCTATGTGCCTCATTCAAGAACGGCTTGCATAATACAAAACATAGTGTTAACCGCTGGAGCAGTTCCATTTATTATGTTCCTTTGAAGGCAAAGCAGGTTTGCCTGCACTGAGGGACTGTTAGTCAGAATTCAGGGCAAACTGCCAAATACTGGGAACATTGGGATCATCAGTTTACACTAAGGCTGTTTTCCCCCTAAAGGCCAGAGAGGAAACAAGCTGTAATGCTGTAGGGCACATAGCTGTAATGTGGCACAAAATGTCTGTGACAGAATTATCAGTCAAATGGATTCATTTAAGGCTGTCTCTTTGAGTAATCAGAATGAATAAGGGCATTCAAAGTACTCAGCATCACACAATGAAATGTTGGGGAAAAAATGTCAAAGCATCACTGCTACAAGCAGTATTAACTGCATTGTGTGTGTGTGTGTGTGTGTGTGTGTGTGTGTGTGTGTGTGTGTGTGTGTGTGTGTGTGTGTGTGTGTGTGTGTGTGTGTGTGTAGCTGGCACAAAACCAATGTATAGTGACCCTAGTAGGGCTTTCAAGGAAAGTGAGGTATTTAAGGAGCAGTTTTAGCAGTGGTACATTCTCTGTGAGTTTCCATAGCTGAGCAGGGATTCAAATCCTGTTCTCCAGAGTCCTAGTCCATCATTCGATCCACTACACAACACTAGGAATCCCATCAACTGCAACAGCCTCTGCCAATTTCCAACTCACTCTATCACTCCTGAGCTAAACATAGTTCATCTAGTTCTGTCTTCCCAACTTTCTCTACCTGTTCTGCATGTGGAAGAAATATATTTGTAAAGATGAGAAATCTCTGGAAGAAGTCCTGCATAATCTCTCTCTGTCTTTTGATGTTTCATTAGTTAGAGCCAACAACTGGACAGCAATCAAAATTTATGAGGCAGCTTTGCCTGTTCTATAGCACAAGGCAATTACATCCTGATTCATTCCACAGAGCTGAGGCACGCTGCTGACTCAGTATTTGGAAGCAAAGTATTTAGTTTGATATGTAGCTCGCTAAAGGAAAAGAAATGAAGTTTGTGAGATATGGAGTCTAAGCATGACTGAACTAAAAACAATGTTCCTAACTGCTATTGTACAAAATGTACAGTTTTGTTGTGCATTGCTTTGGCAGATTGATGGAGGAAAAAAGGTTGTAAATATTAGTAATAATAGTATATACACTATGATGCAGTAAAAAGCCTCACCACCATGAAGCTACATGAACCCAAGGCGCTAATACAATATATTCCATTTGGATTGTATTTTCTTAATTTGTTAATTAATTCACATCTTGGCTTTCTATTAAGTTAACATACTGTGTGTGTGTGTGTTAAAATATTCAGCTATTGAAAAAATATAGAGAAAATACTGAGGAAAATAAGACCCTGTAATTTTGGGTTAATATCAGGTTTTGTTCCCAATCATAGACATATGGTGACCCACTCTAGCATCTTTGGCCTTACCTCTCTTGATTAGATAATGTGACATTTTACTCACACCAAAATGTCCAAAAGGTATAATGTCTATGCTAATAGCACATTTCTCTCTGTAGAAGGGGTGTCAATTGGTGGCTCTTCAGGTATTGTTTGATTAATGTTCGAAAAACAGCTGGACCAGATGGAATCATGGGATGTGCTGCAGAATTAGCTGGAGTTTTTACGGATATTTTCAATCTATCCTTGTTGCAGTGTTCTGTCCCCACTTGCCTGAAGACATCTATTATAGTGCCAGTCCCCAAGCAGTCAGCTGTGGTATATCTCAATGATTATAGACCAGTAGCTTTAACATCTGTTATTATGAAATGTTTTGAGAGATTAGTGCTGGATTACATTAAGGCTAGTCTTCCAACTTCTTTGGGCCCATGGCAATTTGCATACAAGAAAAACAGATCTACTGATGATGCTGTGTCCATTATTCTCCATATTGTATTGAGTCACTTAGAACAACAGGGAACTTATGCGAGGCTGTTGTTTGTGGATTATAGTTCTGATTTTAATACAATTCTACTCAATAGGTTGTTTTTTAAAATGATCAAACTGGGATTACCTCAGAAGATTTGTGTGTGGGTAAAGGAGTTTCTGACAGATAGGCCACAGTCAGTAAGAATGGACTCTCACCATTCTTCTACCCTGGTACTAAGTACAGGTGCTCCCCAGGGCTCTGTGTTAAGTCTCTTCCTCTAATAACATCAACGCAATTACAGAAAGGAAGTACAAAGGTTGATACTGCGATGTAAAGAAAATCTTACACTTAACATCAAGAAAACTAAAGAACTCATAATTGATTTTAAGAGGAAGAGAAATGTACATTTACCACTGTACATAAATGGCGAGGAAGTGGAGAGGGTTGGTAGTTTTAAATTTCTGGGCACTTACATCTCAGAGGACCTCTCATGGACTATAAATGCCAACATGCTAGTGAAGAAGAC